GATTGCTAGTGACTGTCCCTGAACTTTTGTAACTGTGGTGTCACACATCAGATGTAGAAAACAGATCAGCCAATAAAGCCAAGGTAGTCGTCTGTTTTTTTCTTAACTTTCACGGTTGGTTATTCGGTAATGCGGTCAAGAATTAGCTTTTTTTTTGTCCCGTCGGCCACCCAACCAGCTTTCCACAGCTAGTTTCTTTCAGGCATCTTCGAAGAAAGTCTACCTCCCCCCCCCCAATCCCACCCGAAGGAAATATAATTTATGTAGAAAATATATGCTTTTACCAGTGTCCGCTCCCCCTACCTCGGAAAATTTAGTCCGCTCCCTCACCCCTCCAAAAAAAGTTCAAGTGCCCTTCCCCCCCCCCCTCGGAGAAAAAAGTCTGAAAGAAGCACTGAAGACACCAACGTTAATACACCAACGTTAATACACCAACGTTAATACACCAACGCTAAGACACCAATGCTAAGACACCAACGCTAAGACACCAATGTTAAGACACCAACTTTAAGACACCAACTTTAAGACACCAACGTTAAGACGCCAACGTTAAGACGCCAATTTGTACTGCTCATTATCAGCCTATATCCGTGTGTCCACAAGCTCAACTTATCCCCCCAGAGTTAGCAAGTGGCAGTTAGCGCCCCTTGTAGTCGCTCTCCCAACATTTTATAGTGTGTGAACTGTTTACATCTCCTGAGTGTCGCTACCACGGTGATGTTAATGATAGTCTGACAAGATGGTTGTTTCTATTTTTCTAGAAACAAATGAGCTGGGGAATATTCGATCTTTTCTTTTCGTGGTCAGGAAATAAATCTTGATGGTCTGTTTTTATTTTACCCAAACTGAAGTCTACAGATTTTAATCGCTGTTTGTATTTGTTTGGTCAGTCCAATAGGCAGTTGCATGCTAGAGGGAGGAGTAAGGCATTTTGTGTGTGTAAAAACTAAAATTCCAAGTCAGCACTAAAGAGGTGTGTGATGGTGAAAACTTCAAGCCAGTTCAACGAAAGTCCCAATAAAAATGGTCCAAGAATAACCCAGACAAAATGGAAATTTTTGGAAGCAATACGGTAGTCGGCACGCAAGCAAGGCAGCTGGGACTTGATTATTCTGTCGCTTGTATCGTGTCTGTGGTTGTTGCTAGTTAATGATAGGTCTCGGTGTTTGGTTGATGGTCTCGGTGTTTAGTGGATAGTCTCGGTATTAAATGATGGTCTCGGTGTTTGGTTGGATGGTCTCGGTGTTTGGTTGATGGTCTCGGTGTTTGGTTGATGGTCCTCGGTGTTTGGTTGATGGTCCTCAGTGTTTGGTTGATGGTCTCGGTCTTTTGTTAATGGTCTCGGTGTTTAGTTGATGGTCTCAGTGTTTAGTTGATAGTCTCAGTGTTTAGTTGATGGTCTCAGTGTTTAGTTGATGGTCTCAGTGTTTAGTTGATGGTCTCAGTGTTTAGTTGATGGCATCTGTGTTTAGTTGATGGTCTCAGTGTTTAGTTGATGGCATCTGTGTTTAGTTGATGGTCTCAGTGTTTAGTTGATGGCATCAGTCTTTGGTTGATGGTCTCGGTGTTTAGTTGATGGTCTCTGTGTTTTAGTTGATGGCCTCTGTGTTTAGTTGATGGTCTCAGTGTTTAGCCGATGGTCTCGGCTTTCGTTGATAGTCTCGGTGTTTGGTTGATGGCCTCTGTGTTTAGTTGATGGCATCTGTGTTTAGTTGATGGCATCTGTGTTAAGTTGATGGTCTCAGTGTTTAGTGATGGCATCAGTCCTTTGGTTGTTGGTCTCAGTGTTTAGTTGCATGGCATCAGTCTTTGGTTGTTGGTCTCAGTGTTTAGTTGATGGCATCAGTCTTTGGTTGATGGTCTCAGTGTTTAGTTGATGGTCTCTGTGTTTAGTTGATGGTCCTCAGTGTTTAGTTGATGGCATCAGTCTTTGGTTGATGGTCTCAGTGTTTAGTTGATGGTCTCTGTGTTTAGTTGATGGCCTCTGTGTTTAGTTGAAGGCATCAGTCTTTGGTTGATGGTCTCTGTGTTTAGTTGATGGTCTCAGTGTTTAGTTGATGGCATCAGTCTTTGGTTGATGGTCTCTGTGTTTAGTTGATGGTCTCAGTGTTTAGTTGATGGCATCTGTGTTTAGTTGATGGCATCAGTCTTTGGTTGATGGTCTCTGTGTTTAGTTGATGGTCTCAGTGTTTAGTTGATGGCATCAGTCTTTGGTTGATGGTCTCTGTGTTTAGTTGATAGCCTCTGTGTTTAGTTGATGGTCTCGGTCTTTAGTCGATGGTCTCAGTGTTTAGTCGATGGTCTCAGTGTTTAGTCGATGGTCTCGTTCTTTTAGCTGTTAGTCTCGTTGTTTATATTGTGAGTCTCTAAGGTTTAGTCTAATGATGTACCTGGCCCTAGGCTTGGCTACTGTAATTTCTGACTAATCACATCATTAAATTTCGCTTCTGCTAATTACACCGGTATCAAATGTTTAATCTTTATAGTTAAGAGAGCAAAAACTTTGGTTTTAAGCTCCTTGTTCGCCTGTTTGTTTAAGCTCAGTGTTCGCCTGTTGGTTTAAGCTCATTGTTCGCCTGTTGATTTAAGCTAACTGTTCGCCAGTTGATTTAAGCTCACTGTTCGCCTGTTAGTTTAAGCTCACTGTTCGCCAGTTGGTTTAAGCTCCCTATTCGACTTTTGGTTTAAGCTAAATATTCGCCTGTTGGTTTAAGCTAAATGTTCGCCTGTTAGTTTAAGCTCACTGTTCCCCAATTGGTTTAAGCTCCCTATTCGCCAGTTGGTTTATGCTCCCTATTCGACTTTTGGTTTAAGCTAAATGTTCGCCTGTTGGTTTAAGCTAAATGTTCGCCTGTTGGTTTAAGCTCAGTGTTCGCCTGTTGGTTTAAGCTCAATGTTCGCCTGTAGGTTTAAGTTCCCTGTTTACTTGTTGGTTTAAGCTCACTATTCGCCAGTTGGTTTTTATCTCACTGTTCGCAAGTTGATTTAAGCTCACTGTTCGGCTGCGTCAGTTTCTGAAGGCAAAAGCTTGAGGTCAAACCAGGCAGAATTGTCACGTGGTCTTGCCTTCCTCTCCCCCCCCCCCCCCCCCCCCCCCCGGGGTAACAGAAGTACTGCAGACGTTCTCCCTGCGGTTCCAATTATTTCTGGTACTAAAGACAAATCACTTCTCAGGGGCAAAGGGAGACAATGTAGCTAGTCTTCTGCTCAAATAGCCATCTGCACTCAATTGTTAATACTCGAATACAAGGTGAACATCTATACCTAACATACACGCATCAACGTGTATGACATATACGTATCAACGTGTATGTTATATGTTTCAGATTTACTTTTGAATACACGCACTGACGTCACAAGGCGGGGAGCTGGGTGCGGCCCGCACCGGGTGACAACATTTAGCGGGTGACGCGACAACGAAAAATCATAAAATTTAATGTCTAAACCAGATAAAATAACAAAAAACAGTAGCGGAGAAGGGTGACACCAAAACAGAAATTGTTGGATGGGGGAGGGGTGACACCGTCAGTTACCGCACAGGGTGACAACCTACCTAGAGACGGTTAATTCCATTCATTTTTATTGAGTTAAAAAGAACATTTTTTAACCCGACCCCCATGCTAACTGGTTTCACATAACACAATTCCTTGTGGGCTGGTCTAACACAACTATGAAATTCTCTCCTCCCACCTCCCTCCCCGACCCCCCCCCCCCCCATGTTGAACTGGCTGGTCAGTTCATCATATGTGTCCACTATATGATTTCTAATAGTTGGTTTCTATAAAAACCAGAATCCTGAACAGCAAAATTCACACTTGAAATTTGAAAAATCTGAAAACTTCCCAAAACAATTTATTTACAAAAAATTTATTCAAATTCAGAAACACTGCAAAATTTATATTTTTATTCATAAAACATTTCAAATTATTAAAATAAAATTCACACAGTATGTTATCTTTCTGTATATATATATATATATATATATATATATATATATATATATATATATATATATATATATATATGTATGTATATATATATATATATATATATATATATATATATATATATATATATATATATATATATATATATATATATATATATATATAATTTTATAAATATATACAATGTTACTTAATTTAAAAATATTTGTATAAGGTTATCATATGAGACAGAATACAATTTAAATCACAAGAACTTAAAGACTTGGCAAACAAAAATTGTGTCCTTAGCCTAGCTATCACAAATACATAAATATTTGATTAACAAAAATTGTATCAATAGGTCTCTTATCACAGTTAAATTTCCTTTCACATCTAAAGTCACATTATTTGTACAAATACAAAAAACCAAGATTACAATAATACAATGTCAAAAATCACATATTACGCTCTGATAAAATCAAAACATCACATAATTATAAACTGTGAAAACTGACACCTCTGATCCCTGATGGATGTCTTAAATCAAACAATTTCAAGGCGGTAAAGAAAATAATTCAAAGGCCAAGAAAATGTGTCACAGTCCAAGCATTAAAAACTATCCCTACATTTTAACAGAGAACAATATTTTTTTAAGCAGCAGCTACTGAACCCACATTCAATGTTTGTGTTGTTAAAATCTGATCCAAAATTTTAAGTGCTTTACCACATTCTCTGTTGGATAAAAAAAAATGTATGATCAGGTTAAGATAAAATCTGAATGTACAAAAATAGAATAAAGAAGGATTGAGTTACCTGCCCAGAGAGCCTTCCAGTTTTTCTCTCTCTCGTAAAGATCTCAGAATTCTTCTGTCAGTGAGTTTAAGAACTCTGAAACTCCTGATTATCTGTTTATAAAAATACCAGTTGTCATCCTTTACTGATAAAAACAATGATATGATAAATCAACTTGCTAAATTAAACATCATTAATCTTTTTGAGAATGTGTTTATTTAATCAAGCCAAAGTCTCCAAATGCTGTCTAGAATATTCGTTACAAAAAAAAAAAAACTTAAAAAAAAGAATTTGTAAAAAAAAGTTTGTTTTAAAAAGATTTTTAAAAATCTGGCCAACCATTAATCTGACATAATCACTGGTGTCCAGTTCTAGCATCTCTAGCAGCAGACGAATCACTTTCTCATTCTTCATTCCAAGTGTGCCCTTACAAATATCAAAGTATTATTAGAAAATAGAATTTCCTTTTTCAACTGCATAATAATTTTAATTTATAAATAGCTACTATCATTCTATTTTTAAAAAACAACAGCCAACTATAATGGGAAAATATGACTGTCATTACAACGTTTAGTTTTTGTATTCACATTGCCATAGCAACAAATGTTTACTTACAACAGCCATAGCAGCCTCAGCTCTGACATGTTCCTCTGGGTCCTCCAATTTCCTAGCAAACATAAACCACATCTAAAACCACATCTAAAACATAAACCACATGTAAACCACATCTAAAACATAAACCACATCTAAAACATAAACCACATGTAAACACATCTAAAACATAAACCACATCTAAAACATAAACCACATGTAAAACATAAACCACATGTAAACCACATCTAAAACATAAACCACATGTAAACCACATCTAAAACATAAACCACATCTAAAACATAAACCACATGTAAAACATAAACCACATGTAAACCACATCTAAAACATAAACCACATGTAAACCACATCTAAAACATAAACCACATCTAAAACATAAACCACATGTAAAACATAAACCACATGTAAACCACATCTAAAACATAAACCACATGTAAACCACATCTAAAACATAAATCACATCTAAACCACATCTAAAACATAAAACACATGTAAACCACATCTAAAACATAAACCACATGTAGACCACATCTAAAACATAAATCACATCTAAACCACATCTAAAACATAAAACACATGTAAACCACATCTAAAACATAAACCATATCTAAACCACAACTAAAACATAAACATCTAAAACATAAACCACATCCAAAACATAAACCACATCTAAAACATAAATCACATCAAAACATAAACCACATCTAAAACACAGTAATGACATAGTATACCATAATTATACAATGTGAATTTTTCTAATTTGCAATTGGAAGAAGGGACTGAGTACTAAAATGTGTGGATGTTCATTTTTAATTTTTTTCACAATAAACCACATTTAACTTATCTTTACTTTGGTTATTTAACATCAGACAAATACTTCCCTGGCTAAGTAACTGGATGTCTTTACTTTGGTTATTTAACATCAGACAAATACTTCCCCTGGCTAAGTAACTGGATGTCTTTACTTTGGTTATTTAACATCAGACAAATACTTCCCTGGCTAAGTAACTGGATGTAACCAGAATTTGTTTTATCAGCTCTTGAATTTTAAAAAAAACTTGTGAAAGTTGAGCTATTTAATGTTGACTCAAAAACTTTGTGAACATCAGGCAAATGTTGTTGTTGTTTTTTTAGGTACAGACATCCATTTATCAGTTACTTTGTTGCCTCTTGCATGTCAAAAATTTTTTGTTATGGCTGGTGGATGTTATGTCTTGTGGACGTAAAACTTACGTGATGACACTATCACAGGCTTGAGCAAACATTCCCAACGCTGTCAGGGCTTTAGCTGCTGCCAGCCGTACATCCTGAGAGACATTTCATAAGGGAATCTTGAAACAATGTCATGGTTATTAATTTACCTACCATCATTAAAATCATGTCATTAATGTACATGGAAATCAAGTAATTAATGTAACCATCATGCTAGAAATCATGTCATTAATGTCCACCATGCTAGAAAATCAGGTCATTAATGTTCCTAAATATCAGGTCATGAATGTACCCACCATGCTAAAAATCAGGTCGTTAATGTACCCACCATGCTAAAAATCAGGTCGTTAATGTACACACCATGATAGAAATCAGGTCATTAATGTACCCACCATGCTAAAAATCAGGTCATTAATGTACCTAGAAATCAGGTCATTAATGTACCCACCATGCTAGGAATCAGGTCATTAATGTTCCTAGAAACCAGGTCATTAATGTACCCACCATGCTAGGAATCAGGTCATTAATGTTCCTAGAAATCAGGTCATGAATGTACCCACCATGCTAGAAAATCAGGTCATTATTGTCCCACCACGCTAGAAATCAGGTAATAAATGTACCTAGAAATCAGGTCATTAATGTACCCACCATACTGGGGTCATCCCAGAGACGAGTCTCCAGAAGGTTGTAAATCTTGTCCTGATGTTTGACCACGTACTGGTGTTTGGGACCTGCAGGGAGACACCAAAATTAAAAACATTTGCCCAGCAATGGAAAGGCTGAGATATTCTGTTTTTCTCCATGTATCTAACACTGACTCCTTGACTCCCCATTATTACAACCCTAACTCCCCATGAATCTAACACTCCCTGACCCCCATGAATCTAACACTGACTCCCTGTGAATCTAACAGTGACTCCCTGACTCCCCATGATTCTAACCCTGACTCCCTGACTCCCCATAATTCTAACATTGACTCCCTATGAATCTAACACTGACTCCCTGACTCCAAGTGAATCTAACCCGGACTCCCCATGAATCTAACCCTGACTCCCTGACTCCCCATGAACCTAACCCTGACTCCCTGACTCCCCATGAACCTAACACTGACTCCCTGACTCCCCGTGAACCTAACACTCACCAAATGAAATGAACAGATTACAGGCTAACGCCCTGTGCCCCCACACAGGAGATTCCTTGAGTAGAGCCTCCATGTGTTGTATGATGACATCATTGGTCACGTGCATCTGCTTCACGAGAATTTCCAGCGCCTATTTATAAAAAAAAACATTCCCAGCCAAACAAAAATTTTGGATAATCTTGATCATAAAAGATCTGCTGCTACTTATTCACACACAAGTAGCCTAAACACAAACAGGACAGGTAGCCTAAACACAAACAAAAACAACCACAACAGGTAGCTTAAATGCAAACACAACAGGTGGCCTAAACACAACATGTAGCCTAAACACAACATGTAGCCTAAACACAACCACAACAGGTTGCCTAAAAACAAACACAAAAGGTAGCCTAAACACAACAGGTAGCTTAAACACAACCACACCAGGTAGCCTAAACACAACCAAACCAGGTAGCCTAAAGACAAACACAACAGGTACCCTAAACACAACCACACCAGGTAGCCTAAAGACAAAAACAACAGGTAGCCTAAACACAACCACACCAGGTAGCTTAACACAACCACACCAGGTAGCCTAAAGACAACCACAACAGGTAGCCTAAACACAACCACACCAGGTAGCCTAAACACAAACACAACAGGTAGCCTAAACACAAACACAACAGGTAGCCTAAACACAAACACAACAGGTAGCCTAAACACAAACACAACAGGTACCCTAAAGACAAACAGGTAGCCTAAACACAAACACAACAGGTAGCCTAAACACAAACACAACAGGTACCCTAAAGACAAACAGGTAGCCTAAACACAACAGGTAGCCTAAACACAAACACAACAGGTAGCCTAAAGACAAACAGGTAGCCTAAACACAAACACAACAGGTAGCCTAAACACAACAGGTAGCCTAAACACAAACACAACAGGTAGCCTAAACACAAACACAACAGGTAGCCTAAACACAACAGGTAGCCTAAACACAAACACAACAGGTAGCCTAAACACAAACACAACAGGTAGCCTAAACACAAACACAACAGGTAGCCTAAACACAAACACAACAGGTACCCTAAAGACAAACAGGTAGCCTAAACACAAACACAACAGGTAGCCTAAACACAAACACAACAGGTACCCTAAAGACAAACAGGTAGCCTAAACACAACAGGTAGCCTAAACACAGCTGGTAGCCTACCTTAGCTTTAATGTGTGTGTCCCTGGATTCCTTGACTGTGCTCATCAGACGAGCCAGCGCGTGGTCATCCTTCACACAAAGATGACCCAGACAAACTGCAGCATGAAATGCTATGGGGTCATCTGGGTCAGGGTTCTGACACAAATGGCTCAAAACTTTGGCCAGTTCGTTAAATGCTGGCAGGGACTAAGGGAGAAATGCAGATAGTATTTGTTTACTTTAAAGGCCTATAAATGAATTTTAATTTGATGTATTTTAACAAATGCTTGGGGGGGGGGTTTGTTTCATAAGAAGCTATTTAGTGAAATGTAGCATTTTTTTTTGTATGTAATTATTTTTCATAAGTTTTAACTTTATTTTAAATAGAATATATTTTGAAAGGAAACCTAGCATTCTCCACCACTGACTACCTACATTGCTAATGTACTGAACATTTTTGCCTGAGCTGATGGTTTGGATCAAGTCACCTCTAACCTCCGAGTTGCCCAGCACCAGATACTTTAACACAAACTCCAACAGTGGCTCATCCCAACAACCTGGGGAAATAACATCCATTGATAGACCAGAGCTAAACAAACAACATTCATTTTACAACAGTGGAGGTTTGGAGAGAACCTACCTAGAAGTATTTAATATTTTTACCACAGTGGAGATTTGGAGAGGGCCTACCCAGGGGCGGAACTACAGTGCCGCCAGACCCCGCAATGCGGGGGGGCCCACGCTATTTTAGGGGCCCATAGCCGACCATAATAAATTTTTTAAAGTTACAAAAAAAAATTTCTTGCATTTTTGACTTGACGGTATAAGCTTTTGTAAATAACAAACAGATCTACTACAGTTGTGATCTTATAGAGTAGCTAACACATGATGTTGCGTAAAAAAAAAAATATGTGCCTGAGCTGTAGTGTGAAAGATAGGCAAACGTTCAAAACCCTTCCATGACTTATTTCCCTTTTTTAAATTGTTAAATAGGGGTACTCATAAGCTCTTTTTAATATATTTGTACTAAACAAATTAAAAGCAATTACTTCTCTTAAATATTATTTAAAAAAAAAATAAAAACTAAAGACTGGCGTAGTATAAAAAGGAAATATATTTAAAACAAATAAAATAAATACCGAAAAAACATAGAAATAAACATAACACGAGAAACCATTACACATACAAAGCTTTCAAGTTATATATTTTTTGACCGGCTAATTACTAGTAGGGTAGACTGAATTACAGCTAACATATTGAATAAAGTAGTTCTAAATTACGTAAAGAATTTGATGTTGATGTACTTGTAAAAATTGCAAATAAAAGTATTATAAAAAAATAACTAGTTCTAAATTAAAAAAAAATAAATAAATCAAAACAGACCAATGCACTAACACACATGACATGTTGTAATTTGTTTAAATTGAAAAAAAAAACAATTTTTTTTCAAAACCCGATCAGGCCAGAAATGAGTATCTAATTTCTGTGTTCTGTGTTTGTATATAAATCCACGGAGGCGTAGCGAGAGGGGGGGGGGGCGGTGGGTGGGACACGTGTCCCCGGGCGCCGACTTTAGGGGCGCCAAATAGGGTTTGAAAAACAAATTGAAAGTTTGAGGGGGGGGGGTGAGAAAATCAAAAGTTCGAGGGGGGGGGAGGTGCAAATCGAAAGTTTGTCCCCAGGCGCATGGAAGGGCCGCTACGCATCTGTATATATATATATATATATATATATATATATATATATATATATATATATATATGTATATATATATATGTATATATATATATATATATATATATATATATATATATATATATATATATATATATATATATATATATATATATATAAAGAGGGGGGCCCAGAAATTTTTTTTTGCGGGGTGGCCCGTTTTTTCTAGTTCCGCCACTGGGCCTACCTAGAAGTATTTAATATTTTACCACAGTGTAGGTTTGGAGAGAACCTACCTAGAAGTATTTAAGTTACAATACTTTCACCACAGTGGATGTTTGGAGAGAACCTACCTAGAAGTATTTAATATTTTTACCACAATGGAGGTTTGGAGAGAACCTACCTAGAAGTATTTAATATTTTACCACAGTGGAGGTTTGGAGAGAACCTACCTAGAAGTATTTAAGTTACAATATTTTTACCACAGTGGAGGTTTGGAGAGAACCTACCTAGAAGTATTTAATATTTTACCACAGGGTAGGTTTGGAGAGAACCTACCTAGAAGTATTTAATATTTTTACCACAGTGGAGGTTTGGAGAGAACCTACCTAGAAGTATTTAATATTTTTACCACAGTGTAGGTTTGGAGAGAACCTACCTAGAAGTATTTAATATTTTACCACAGTGGAGATGGAGAGAACCTACCTAGAAGTATTAGAGACTTGGCTGCCTCATATCGGACTCTTTGGACTGGATCTTTCTCAAGTTTTTCTTTTAAAGCAAACGCAACCATTGTATCGCCAGACTTGAGTAGACCAAGTTGCTGAAATTGTTGTGTCAGGTGAGGGGTCAGAAATGACTGGAACTTTGGCTGTTTATCAACACTACACACACCATCCACTCACCACACCATTCACTCACCACACCATCCACTCACCACACAATACACTCACCACACCATCCACTCACTCACCACACCATCCACTCACCACACCATCCACTCACCGCACCACTCACACCATCCACCCACCACACCATTCACTCACCACACCATTCACTCACCACACCATTCACTCACCACACCATCCACTCACCACACCATTCACTCACCACACCATCCACTCACCACACCATCCACTCACCACACCATCCACTCACCACACCATCCACTCACCACACCATCCACTCACCACACCATTCACTCACCACACCATCCACTCACCACACCATCCACTCACCACACCACCCACACCATTCACTCACCGCACCACTCACACCATTCACTCACCACACCAAACTTGTTATATTAATAAATTAAAAATTAATTAGCCAAAGAGGACAAACAATCAGATTGTAGTCATTACCCTCGCAGCATCAATGCGTTCCTCTTCTCTATCTGACTCAAGTTGAACATGGACAATTGTCTAAACAGATTAAAAGTAAAATGTTATTTTTTAAATTATAAAATACAGTTTATCCCTAAAGCCGATTCATTTACTCAGCTCTATGCAAAAAATAAGCAAGATGTACAGAGCCAAAGTTTCAAAACATTTTTCTGAAAATAGTCATCATTTTTCAAAAAATTAACAATGTTTATATAGGGAAAATTCGGACCACTCAGTTCTAAAGGTCTTCCGGAATTTTCCGGAACATATCATAGTTTTCTTTTTGCCACCCCCGAGGGTCAGTCTACGACCTCAGGAGTTATGAAGAGGTACCTGCGTGGGAAATTTTTTTTCGATATATAGCTCATATAAGGCGCCGGTCAGTCAAGGTCAGTTTTGACCCCCTCTTCGTGGACTTTTCGGGCAACCGTCACTGGCCCTCGTGTTCTATTAACCCAAGGCAGGATCCTGCCAAATTTGATGCGCCTGCAGCGCCGGGAAGTGTTCTATTGGGCACCCGACCACTTTGCTTTATATATATAGATATTTTATTTCATCATACCAATGAAACTACACCAACACAAAACTGGATGCTAAATCTACCTTAACCCTTACCATAGCAACCTAAACCTTGTTGTCAAGCTTGCCATAGCAACCTAAAACCTAACTTGTTGTCAAGCTTACCTTAACCCTTGCTATACCAACCTAAAACCTAACTTGTTGTCAAGCTTACCTTAACCCTCTCCCACCTGAGCCCTGAATATTCATTGCCTCTGGAGTCTGGCTTGATGAGGTTCCAGGAATTTGTGTTGGCTGTTAGGGACATATTTAAATTAATATTCAAATTTATTCTTTTTCAATCCAAGAATTTAATATTGCTGTTCCATTTTGTGTAAATATTCAAATAAATGAAACAAAGTTAAAAACAAAAAAAAGAGGAATTCTCACCTGCTTTTAACCTGCCTAAAACTGCTGCTGCTTTAAAACCAGATCGCAATTTCTTACTGAAACAATACATAAAGATTTGTTGCTAAAATTTCCAAGAAACTTTTTATTAACGTGGAGCAGACTAACAGTTTCTTCTATCCCTTACCCAGAAGATTTTGTGCTAGATGTCCCTTCAGTCTCTATCATCATCTGGAACTTTCTTTCTAGGTGTGCAGCCCCAGGGGTGGGAGGTTTCTTTTTTTCCTTGTACAAATTAAGTTTGGTCTCTTCCTGCAGGTTCCTCTGGTCGACAATTCTTTGGGCCGGGTGTCGCAGGTCTGGGTCAGGTTTACAGAAGGAGTCAGCAAATCTTGGGTACTCTTTGTTGGTACTCTGTCAACAGACATTTTATTTCATTTTGGTTCCCCGTTAAGATTTTATTTTATTTTGGTTCCCTGTCAAGACATTTTATTTTGGTTCCCTGTCAAGACATTTTATTTCATTTTGGTTCCCTGTCAACAGACATTTTATTTCATTTTGGTTCCCTGTCAACAGACATTTTATTTCATTTTGGTTCCCCGTTAAGATTTTATTTTATTTTGGTTCCCTGTCAAGACATTTTATTTTGGTTCCCTGTCAAGACATTTTATTTCATTTTGGTTCCCTGTCAACAGACATTTTATTTCATTTTGGTTCCCTGTCAACAGACATTTTATTTCATTTTGGTTCCCTGTCAACAGACATTTTATTTCATTTTGGTTCCCCGTTAACATTTTATTTTATTTGTTACCCTGTCTACCGACAATTTTTTAAATTTTGGTACCCTGACTACAGAAATATTTTAACATCCCAGATTTTAAGGGCCTACACACTACACTAGATTTTATTTCTAGCTTTAACTTTTTAAACATGTAACTGCATTTAGTTATTTACACTTTTTAATTGTATTTAACGCATTAACAATATATAAATTTACAAGGGGAAGTAATTCTCTCAAGAGGATTGAATGGAGTGTCCTGAACATTTTTGTAAATTAAAAACAAAAATGTGTTGTTATTTAAGTTTTTAAAAACAATTAGTTCTTTAATTTTTGCATTCTCCTTGTTTTTTATGAATTAGATACTGAATTTGATTAAAATACGTTTTCTTTAAACCTTAATCAGTAGCTTGTGATCTGAATTCTAAATGACAATTATTGATTTCTTTCTAATGGATTGGCTCTCAATCATGAAACTAACCACCAGTGCCCAACAGGTCACCATCATCTGCCTAATTAATTGAGTGTTCACCAGTACTTAATCCTGTTGTCTCCCCTATTGTTAGTGAAATTAGTAATCTACACACACAAATTTGGTACAGTTTTAATGACTAAGCTAATATTGAATAGGATTAAAAATTGAGATATTCTTGCATTGTCATTGGAGACTAATGTATCTGAGAGTTAAACTACTGCATTAGAAGTAGGTCAAAATTAAGTTACAAAATTTGACACAAACAGAAAAAAGACTGAAGGACATAGCAAACTACCTAGAGGTTTATAAAAATGAGAACTGAACACAACAACAAAATAATTACTCACAGTTCTAGTTATAGGGAGCACTGGGGGAGGGGGGATGGGCTTGGGGTAGTAAACAGACACTTTAGCCTTGGACGACTTGTCCTGAGGTTGGGCCAGTGGTGAATACATCTTGTTGTGTGTGTTCTGTAGGTGGCGCCGGGGGACTACCTTTGTCAGACTTGGTAAACTCTGGTGATCAACATGTTGGGAGACTTAGATGCTATTGATTACACTATTAAAAGCAACACTTTTTAATTTAGGCGAACAGAACATTATTTTATACAATGATGAACAAGAAATTTTTTTTAATTATAAAAGCTAACTTAACAAATTAGATTTCACATTTAATAATAAATATATGTGTTGGATGGTACGCATGGTCAAATGGTAGAGCGTTCAACTATTAATCCAAAAGTCTTGAGTTTGGGTCTCTGACTATGTCCACCCAACTCTGATGGGTACTTTACTTATATTAGGGAAAGTAGAGGCGGCTGGGCTTAGTACTGACCACACTATCCCTTCATATGCCGAGGTCAAAGAAACAGGTAAGCACAACTTCATCTGCCCCCATGGGCAGGTTTAAAATGGAACTTTTCTTACTAACTTACACAGTGGCATATTTTTTCATACATAAAGAAGAAATTTTTTTTTCTAAAAAAACCTACTCACTTTAGTTGTGAGGTCACCTTGCATCTGGTTGCCTGCAAATTTTGTGATAGAGATACTTGAGTCTTTATAGAACAATAAATAGAATTGTAACCCTTTAATGTCTAACCTTATCTGAATCATCTAATACTATAATGGGCCACGTTCGCACATCTCTCTCTCTCTCTCTCTCTCTGTCCGCAAAAAATTTTCGCCGGACATCACGTCAGAAACGGCAGCAATATATGGAGAACTTTATACGGACTTTTGTTGAAAATAATATGTTAGATGTTTTAAATGTATAACCACAATTTTATTTAAAGAAGAAAAATATAAAATAAAGGCGTATTCGAATGTAGAGAAACAGTATTATTTATGCAACCAGAAAAGCATTAATAGATGTGTAAAAGAACGCATAAAACTGTGACGACACTATTGCTTACTAATGACGTCATCTGCCGTGTTTAGAATAAAAAAGAAATGAACTATTTCATTCAAATTTGATTTAGATCTACGTACACTATGAAATGTATACAATACAATTTTTCCGGCCTAAACTCATAACATTTATTAATACAAAATCTTTGTTTGGAACTGGCTAATTTGGGATAAAAAAATTAATTTGAAAGAATAGGCATATTCGCGTAACTTAAGATTTTAAAATACGTCTTTCATTCTCTGTATTTTATAAGGTGCCTAAATAGCGGAGATGTTAGTGTACTATAAACCACGCAGGTAGTGCGGGTTCGAGACCCACCAAGTCAACTTGGTTAATGTATTTTTTTTTTTATTTTGCTCGGACAAAACTTAAAAAAAAAAAATTCAATTAGGATTCTAGATCTAGATCTAGATTGTCGGGTGTCCGATAAGGCACTTCCCGGCGCCGCAGGCGCTTCAAATTTGGCAGGATCTTGCCTTGGGGCGACAGAGCACGGGGGCCGGTTGGCCGAAAAGTCTACGATGAGGGGGTCAAAACTGACCTCGACTGACCGGTACCTTATATGAGCTATAAATCGAAAAAAAATGTCCACGGAGGAACCTCTTCATAACTCTTGAGGTCGTAGACCGACCCTCGGGCGAATTAATTAAGCATTCAAATTCTCAATGTTTTCGAAAGCCTAAGCGAAGCTGGGCAGCATGCCTAGTGTTCTAATAAAATCTCATGCTGGTCAGCAATAAGACAGTAAAAGAGAATCTACTAGCCAAAAGTGGTTGTAGGGTGAAGAATTTTTAGCAAAACTAAATTACCCTGTGAAGTGTTCAGCTGTCTAAGACTGTCAAAACTAAATTACCCTGTGAGGTGTTCAGCTGTCTAAGACTGTCAAAACTAAATTACCCTGTGAGGTGTACAGCTGTCTCAGACTGTCAAAACTAAATTACCCTGTGAGGTGTTCAGCTGTCTCAGACTGTCAAAACTAAATTACCCTGTCAGGTGTTCAGCTGTCTAAGACTGTCAAAACTAAATTACCCTGTGAGGTGTTCAGCTGTCTCAGACTGTCAAAACTAAATTACCCTGTGAGGTGTTCAGCTGTCTCAGACTGTCAAAACTAAATTACCCTGTGAGGTGTTCAGCTGTCTAAGACTGTCAAAACTAAATTACCCTGTGAGGTGTTCAGCTGTCTCAGACTGTCAAAACTAAATTACCCTGTGAGGTGTTCAGCTGTCTAAGACTGTCAAAACTAAATTACCCTGTGAGGTGTTCAGCTGTCTCAGACTGTCAAAACTAAATTACCCTGTGAGGTGTTCAGCTGTCTCAGACTGTCAAAACTAAATTACCCTGTGAGGTGTTCAGCTGTCTAAGACTGTCAAAACTAAATTACCCTGTGAGGTGTTCAGCTGTCTCAGACTGTCAAAACTAAATTACCCTGTGAGGTGTTCAGCTGTCTCAGACTGTCAAAACTAAATTACCCTGTGAGGTGTTCAGCTGTCTAAGACTGTCCTTGCTTTGGTTCCAATCTCTGACAGACAACTGGGACGCGTTGTAAATTTTATCATACAGTCCATGAATTTTAGATGCCAGTTTATCTAAGGCAATACGCTGCAGATGGAAAAAAATTCTAAATATTATTGTCGGACTAAAAGAATTTTATAACAATTTAATTTCATAAAAAAATATTGTAGAACTGAAGCCAACAAGCATAATTTAGCATGTTAGAATGGCTACATACATGTTCTTAGAATCTAAAGATAAATGTGAGAAATTTTGTACATGAATATCTTTGATATCACTTCCTTTTCTTCTTATACGCCAAGGCAGTTCTCTAAACTCAGATTCCAAATCCTCTGAAATAAAGAATAGGCTTCATTTGATTTTAAGTTACAGCCTTCAGTTGGCTAAACTATATCAATATCATGTGGCTGCCCAACCAGACATATTACAAGAAACTGAACACAAGCAGATATAAAAATATTATAAAACTCTCACAGACAAGAGTAATAAATTCTCAAACTCTGGAGTTCTGAGTGTGATGTAATTCAAGGGAGATGGTGATAAATGTTTTCTTTAATGGTAATTTGAGGCAGTAGCTTTATGCCTTCTAATGGTAATTGGCAGTAGCTTTATTAGGCAATAACTATCTACTGTCCAGTGATGACATAAGCCAATAACTATCTACTGTCCAATGATGACATTAGGCAATAACTATCTACTGTCCAATGATGACATTAGGCAATAACTATCCACTGTCCAATGATGACATTAGGCAATAACTATCTACTGTCTAATGATGACATTAGGCAATAACTATCTACTGTCCAATGATGACATTAGGCAATAACTATCTACTGTCTAATGATGACATTAGGCTATAACTATCTACTGTCCAGTGATGACATTAGGCAATAACTATCCACTGTCCAATGATGACATTAGGCAATAACTATCTACTGTCCAATGATGACATTAGGCTATAACTATCTACTGTCCAATGATGACATTAGGCAATAACTATCTACTGTCCAATGATGACATTAGGCAATAACTATCTACTGTCCAATGATGACATTAGGCAATAACTATCTACTGTCCAATGATGACATTAGGCAATAACTATCTACTGTCCAATGATGACATTAGGCAAGCAATAACTATCTACTGTCCAATGATGACATTAGGCTATAACTATCTACTGTCCAATGATGACATTAGGCAATAACTATCTACTGTCCAGTGATGACATTAGGCAAATAACTACCTTCTGGTGATATTAGACAAGAAACTCCTGCTTATTACTGACAATATTAGATTCCTACCTTTTTGAATAAATGAGCCAGGTACAGCCAGCCCCACCTGGTGGTAGCTCAATGGGTCTGCCTGTACAAAGATGTCAGCAAACTGGCTGTATTCAAACCTGTGGTGCTCTGACTGCCAGTACTCTGCTGCTACATCACTGTGGTTGCTGGTTAAAACTGATGGTAAGAAAACATTTAACATACATTAAAACATACTCAGTTATTTTACACTAACACTGGTCATTAAAACATAGTTATTTTAACACTCAAACTGATTATTAAAATACAGTTAACTTAACACTAAAACTGATCATTAAAAATCTCTCATCACTCCTGCAGTCATTAAGCACATCGATGCATATTTTCACTAACACTATCCCTGCAGTCATTAAGCACATTGATGCATATTTTCACTGACACTATCCCTGCAGTCATTAAGCACATCGATGCGTATTTTCACGGACATTACGCATGCAGTCATTAAGCACATCGATGCATATTTTCACTGACACTATGCCTGCAGTCATTAAGCACATTGATGCATATTTTCACTGACACTATGCCTGCAGTCATTAAGCACATTGATGCATATTTTCACTGACACTATCCCTGCAGTCATTAAGCACATTGATGCGTATTTTCACTGACACTATGCCTGCAGTCATTAAGCACATCGATGCGTATTTTCACTGACACTACGCATGCAGTCATTAAGCACATTGATGCATATTTTCACTGACACTATGCCTGCAGTCATTAAGCACATTGATGCATATTTTCACTGACACTATGCCTGCAGTCATTAAGCACATTGATGCATATTTTCACTGACACTATGCCTGCAGTCATTAAGCACATTGATGCATATTTTCACTGACACTATGCCTGCAGTCATTAAGCACATTGATGCATATTTTCACTGACACTACGCATGCAGTCATTAAGCACATCGATGCGTATTTTCACGGACATTACGCATGCAGTCATTAAGCACATCGATGCATATTTTCACTGACACTATGCCTGCAGTCATTAAGCCCATTGATGCATATTTTCACTGACACTATGCCTGCAGTCATTAAGCACATTGATGCATATTTTCACTGACACTATCCCTGCAGTCATTAAGCACATTGATGCGTATTTTCACTGACACTATGCCTGCAGTCATTAAGCACATCGATGCGTATTTTCACTGACACTACGCATGCAGTCATTAAGCACATTGATGCATATTTTCACTGACACTATGCCTGCAGTCATTAAGCACATTGATGCATATTTTCACTGACACTATGCCTGCAGTCATTAAGCACGTTGATGCATATTTTCACTGACACTATGCCTGCAGTCATTAAGCACATTGATGCATATTTTCACTGACACTACGCATGCAGTCATTAAGCACATTGATGCATATTTTCACTGACACTATGCCTGCAGTCATTAAGCACATTGATGCATATTTTCACTGACACTATCCCTGCAGTCATTAAGCACATTGATGCATATTTTCACTGACACTACGCATGCAGTCATTAAGCACATTGATGCATATTTTCACTGACACTATGCCTGCAGTCATTAAGCACATTGATGCATATTTTCACTGACACTACGCATGCAGTCATTAAGCACATCGATGCATATTTTCACTGACACTATGCCTGCAGTCATTAAACAGATCGATGCGTATTTTCAGTGACACTATGATAACCTTCAACAAAAATTCAAAATTGTGTGAGTACAAAAATAAGCTAACCATGCAACTTTGAGTTATCTTGCTCTGGCATTTGACCTTCAACCTCTGTCATGTAAATATGGCTTTCATGTTCAGGCTCCTCAGTCAGCTCTAGATCTGAGTGATCTTCTCTCCCTGTTCCACTGGGCGTTCTATCTCTCCTTTCCTCTGTAACATCACCCCCATCACTTTCAGTTCCCCTTTGCTGTAAAGAATCTTTCAAAGTGTCTGACTCATCCAAAATTTCTTGTGTAGCCTCTGTATCACCAACACCTGATTGATCCTACATCATAAAAAAAATATATTTTTACTAAAGCGTTGTATGAGATTTGCACCAGTCATCAAATTGTTTAACTGATTCGCAAGGTACAAAATTATACAGTTTCTATGGCAACAGTTTCAGTAGCAGTTTACATACTTTTAAGTTAAGTTGGCCAGATAAAACTTTTTTAAATACATAAATGAGTTTAATTACTTGTTTATTTAAGTCTTCTCTCTCTGTAGTTTTCTCATTATCTGTGATATATTGTTGCTCCAAAGGAATGCTAAAATTGAAATGGAAAAACATGTTATTAATGTAGAATTTACTTTTGAAAAAATGAATGCAGCCTACTAAATAGGAAAGCAGTAAGTCTGAGGTTTTTTTTTAAAGATATAAAATATAATTAAAGAAAATATTTAGTTCCTGACTAACAAATAACACCAAAACTAATTAAAATTATGAACTGAAATACCTTTCAATGTCATCACTAGTTCTCTGTGAGTCAGCTTCTGATGGTTGACTTTCAGGAATGTTGGTAACTGTTTGGTGCTTTTTGCAAAAGATAGTTTAAAATTAACTATTTTGATTTTAGGAAGTTGATTTCTGATTTATTTGAAAGTTATAAAATAAACTTTACAATAAACTAACTCCAACCAGAAAAGCAAATACCTGAAGCTTCTTTGTCTCACATATCTCTGCCATCTTGTCCTCAAGCCAAATTACTCGTTTTCTCGCTTCGATAATATTCCCAACACCTGAATGTAATGCTTTATCTAAATCTTCCCTTGCATACATTAATTCTGTGTTTATTTTCTCCATTACCTGAGAAAGATTAATAAAATACCTCACATTTTACCGCCTTATTAGGTGATACAAAAATTTGACCATGATTTAAATACAGTCACAGCACTGCTCTATTCTGTTTTAAACACAAACCTAGTTTAAAATTTAAATAAAGGAAAGAAATTTTGTTGATCAATTTATTCATTAAAAAAATGAATAATTCACATAGTACTTGGCACAGAGAGCAGAAAAGTGAAAAAAGTGATGTGATCACTAAAGCTTGTTGAGGCCAACAAACTGATGATGTTAATGAAGTTATAAAAAATAATTAAATGTGAAAACAAACCTGAAGTGAGAATAAAAGGTGCAGAGATTCATCGTTCAAACGAGCCACTCTGCCATGAAGCTGCTCAATCAGAGTTGTGTCTCCTGCTTCATCCAACTGCTGTAGAGCAGACAGCAGCTCGCTCTGTACTTCATGGACCAGCTGCATCTGAATATATATATTAGCAAACCTAGTATTAGTATAACATCTAAAAAGAATCCTCACTAGAAAGTGTCTACTATAATGCAACATAAAACAAACAAAATCTGTAGAAGTAATGTGGGGAATATAAAGAAGGATCTAGTGCACTACACTATACTGAAAAGCTGTAGATGTTATGCGGTGAATATAAAGTGCACCACACCATACTGAAAATGTATAAAAGAAATGTGAATATAAAGTGCACCACACTATTAGGAAAATCTGTAGAAAAAATGTGGAGAATATAAACAAATATCCACTGCACAACATAAAACAGTGAAAACCTGTAGAAAAAATGTGGTGAATTTTAACAAAGGTCTGATGAGAAGATAAATAATCCATTTTTACCAGGGCATTTATCATTAAGATGCCACAGTCCAAACTCATATAGTAAAGTAAATATTTATAACTAAAGATAAATGGAAACTATAGAAAGATATATACAAAATTGTTCTGATGCTACAATTCAGTGTATTAAGGTCTTTAAAGTTTACTTCAAGCAGATAAAGGTAACTGTAAAAATAACAATCTAAGCTTACATGCTTCTGCATTAACAAGTCCGAACGGTGTTTTACTTTCTGATGTTTCATTGTGTTCTTTTTGGAAAACATTGTAAACTTGAAATTACCTGAAAGTTATTTCAAGATGTTAAAAACATTTTAAAAAGTTGTTCTGGTTGGCATAACACTGTATGATGCATAAGTTATTTTACTATGTTTTAAATTCCAAGTTGGGTAGCTAAAAAATTGAAAAGGCAATATGGCACAAAGAATTTTTAGATATATATGAGGAATCTAGCAAAGTTTGTTTGTACCAATATCTGTGAGTATACTAGCAAATGTTGTACCAATTTCTGTGAGTATACTAGCAAAGGTTGTACCAATTTCTGTGAGTGTGCTAGCAAAGTTTGTACCAATTTCTGTGAGTGTACTAGCAAAGGTTGTTTGTACCAATATCTGTGAGTGTGCTAGCAAAGGTTGTTTGTACCAATATCTGTGAGTGTGCTAGCAATGGTTGTTTGTACCAATATCTGTGAGTATACTAGCAAAGGTTGTACCAATTTCTGTGAGTGTGCTAGCAAAGGTTGTTTGTACCAATATCTGTGAGTGTGCTAGCAAAGGTTGTACCAATTTCTGTGAGTGTGCTAGCAAAGTTTGTACAAATTTCTGTGAGTGTACTAGCAAAGGTTGTTTGTACCAATATCTGTGAGTGTGCTAGCAAAGGTTGTTTGTACCAATATCTGTGAGTGTGTTAGCAAAGGTTGTTTGTACCAATATCTGTGAGTGTGCTAGCAAAGGTTGTTTGTACCAATATCTGTGAGTATACTAGCAAAGGTTGTACCAATTTCTGTGAGTGTGCTAGCAAAGGTTGTTTGTACCAATATCTGTGAGTGTGCTAGCAAAGGTTGTACCAATTTCTGTGAGTGTGCTAGCAAAGGTTGTTTGTACCAATATCTGTGAGTGTGCTAGCAAAGGTTGTACCAATTTCTGTGAGTGTGCTAGCAAAGTTTGTACAAATTTCTGTGAGTGTACTAGCAAAGGTTGTTTGTACCAATATCTGTGAGTGTGCTAGCAAAGGTTGTTTGTACCAATATCTGTGAGTGTGTTAGCAAAGGTTGTTTGTACCAATATCTGTGAGTGTGCTAGCAAAGGTTGTTTGTACCAATATCTGTGAGTGTGCTAGCAAAGGTTGTTTGTACCAATATCTGTGAGTGTGCTAGCAAAGGTTGTACCAATTTCTGTGAGTGTGCTAGCAAAGGTTGTTTGTACCAATATCTGTGAGTGTGCTAGCAAAGGTTGTACCAATTTCTGTGAGTGTGCTAGCAAAGTTTGTACCAATTTCTGTGAGTGTACTAGCAAGGTTGTTTGTACCAATATCTGTGAGTGTGCTAGCAAAGGTTGTTTGTACCAATTTCTGTGAGTGTGCTAGCAAATTTTGTACCAATATCTGTGAGTGTGCTAGCAAAGGTTGCTTGTACCAATATCTGTGAGTGTGCTAGCAAAGGTTGTACCAATGTCTGTGAGTGTGCTAGCAAAGTTTGTACCAATTTCTGTGAGTGTACTAGCAAAGGTTGTTTGTACCAATATCTGTGAGTGTGCTAGCAAAGGTTGTTTGTACCAATATCTGTGAGTGTGCTAGCAAAGGTTGTTGTTAGCTGTCTTTATAACTGGTCATGTATTTAAAATGAAGAAGAAAGAAATCATACCACACCTAATATCAGCTTTGTTCCAATGCAAATTTCTGGTTCATTTTTTCAGTTTTCTAGTACAGCTATTAGTATTATATAGTCTGTAGGCCGTAGTTATGTTTGATCTAAGTAAAAAGAGGTCATTCCATAATATATATCAAGCAAAAAATTATAAATTAGGTATCTTGAAATAGCTGATAGTGCAAACTGATATCCTGTGCTGATATTTTTACCACAGTAAATTACTTGACAACATTTGGCAGATTCATTATTCAGTTGTGGATCACGGATATCAAATTAAATTTCTTTCTTCATACTTCTATATGCATGTCAGCATGCTATTGATAACGCTTTTCTTTATAGTTATTTAAATAGTAGTGTATTATTATATATTTAGAGAAAAACAAATCATTTATTTTCTACTTTTTAGTGCATTATTACATAAAAGTTTTTTTTTTTTAAATGTTTTATGCAATTTTTTTTAGCTCTTTTTACAATTAAAAACCTGATCAGTACTTTGAGATCCCCAAAAGATAATTATCTGTCCCTTATTTAAGTCTGTTGTCAGCTTTCAGGCATGAAGACAGTTTATTAAAGTTCATTTTTTAATTAATTTTTTTATGACTAAGGGGTCATCCATAAATGACGTCACGCTTTTTTGACAATTTTTACCTCCACCCTCCCCTTCGTCACACATCGTCACAAAAAGCCAGACCCCCCTCCCCCTAAAATGATGTCACACCTCAAATTTGCAGTTGAATTTTTTTAAAACATTGATATTTTTCTAAAATCTTGTCTAAACTATTACAATTTATTAAAACAGTTATCTAAAACGTGAAATAACGTCTAAATTCGTTTTCTAACATTGCTTTTTTATAATGCAAAAGTGTGACGTCGCAACATCTGAACACCCCCCCTCCCCCTTATCACACATCGTCACAAAATTACGGACCCCTCTCCCCCCTACGAGTGTGACGTCATTTATGGATGACCCCTAATTCAAGGGTGGATTGGCCAGCCGGTCTACCAGGAAATATCCCAGTGGGCCACCAGGTAAAAAGGAACAATGCTATAGAAGGCCTTAAAGGGCTTTGGTTTTTTTTCATCATGTATTATTTAAATAACCTTTACAGTCCAATCTGCATATTTTTCCATTTTACCACACATCTTCCATCACTCAAGTTTTCTATTAACTCTTGAACCCCATTGCAAGTTTTTCCATCAAACATTTACACACACACAACTATGTTATTTGACCTTTCACCAAAGTATCAGGCAGAATTAGTATTTGGAAGAAGAATAGCCAAGCCTTCAGCCACTGTTTAAATTTTAAATATTAATCTTGCTTGCTAAAATGAGTTGCTGTCGACCTACCTAACGCCTAACACTGCTGTCAATATTTTTTTTTAATCATAATTTTAACAAACTAGTCTCCTAGTTATTTGGGCATTAATCCATTGAATAGACCAACTTCAAATTTAAGCTTTTTTATATTTATGGTAATTAAAAATTTAAAGCCTAACCTGAATGACTGAGCCTGAATGGGACTGGGGGCTACTAGAAGTCTACAGATCTAGTACTGATCTACTATAAGATCTAGATCTATATTTAATATTAATATATTATTATAATTAGGCCTATATTATTATTAATTATTATTAAATATTTGTTTTTTGTGAGTCAGCTTCCGATGGTTGACTTTCAGGGATGTTGTTAACTGTTTCTAATTTATAAAATAATCCTTCAAGAAGCTGTGAAACACCGTTTCATAGAGTTTTAAAACCAAAAAAACATTGATACTGTTACATTAAATAACTTGGCAACCACGAATAAATTGTTGTTTACGAATCGCCGCCATCATTAAGGGATGAATGGCAACAAGATAGATATTTTTAAACTTGACTCCCGTGTAAAAAGTATGCCTTTTATTCTATGTTCAAAATAATGATTATATATTCACAAAATTTTAAAAATATTAATATATTTTTAGTAATATAAAGAAAGTAAATTAGAGACAGGATTTATATACAATCATTATTTACAAACTTTTTTGTAATGTTTCGAAAATATAATTCAGACTTTTAAGTGCATCTGTCCAAAGTACCGGAAGTAGAAGAAATTCTCTCCCTTTTTTTCCCTTCATCGCCATCGTCAGGTATATATTTTCTTATGTCCTTTTTCGATCCATCGTCATCCTATTTAAATTAAAACGAACAGGTCCACATTTATATTTTTTTATAACATGCGTTTCGATTGAGTGTAATTACAATACAATTATGTTATTTTCAAGCGAAATTTACTTGAAATAAGCTTTTTGAAACAAGACGGTGTATGTTGGTTTTTTGTCAATGCTATCATATTATTGGACACAAATGATAAATTTTAATTTGCGCCTAGGTTTGGCTCATAAATAAGAATGTATCAAAAATCTCTTATCAATGGGATCGAGATGTACTCTGAGCTCTATGCTGTTGGCCTTTGAACTTAAAGTGTTAAAACACTACACTGACACTACTGGGGAAAACAACTAGTTTCTAGATAAATTATTTTAATATTTTTGCTGGTTATTACTTGGCCTGGCCTACTTTAATTTAAAATCGTTGTGAAAATATGAATTCCAAGCATTTTATAGTCAAATTGCTATCATAGGGCCTAATCCTCTACTTATTATTTGGTTTGCTCTTTTTAATGTTTACACTGTTTCAGGCTGTCAAGATGGTGCGCATGAATGTATTAGCAGATGCTCTCAATTCAATCTCTAAAGCTGAGAAGCGTGGAAAGCGCCAAGTGCTGCTAAGGCCAGCATCAAAAGTGATAGTTAAATTCCTTGGTGTAATGATGAAACATGGTAAGTATCTTAAGATATTTCTATAATCACAGTGACCAATTCTCTGAAGCAGCTTCAGGCGGGTCACCAGGGGTTGAGGGTTCATAGTAGTTTTTCTTACTATATGTGAAATCTACTCAATTCTCAGTTTAAACATGACAACTGAATAAAAAACGTCCATACTTTATCCTCTAGGCACTAATTTGGGGGTTGTAGCGAGTTTAGACTAAATTATTGAATTTTAAAATGTTTTGTCACTCACAGCTATGATATGACGGATCATCCATGACAACCTGGTTAAAAGTTGAAAGGTTTAACTTTTTAAGTGACCGTGAAATAGATCTAATTTTTTTTCACAAGAGAGTTCCTAAAAGTAGAATTGGCCCGTCTATCGTCGGGATATATTTATAGAGGAAAAAAAATTAAGAGAATGTCATCAGAAATAAATTTTAAAAAAGACAAGACAGAAGTGATGTTTGAATTCTTTTATTTCTTTAATTTTATAACAATTTTTATTGTACAAAAGAGCAAAATAAAAAACCATGCCAGGTAAACGTATCCATTCAAATAGCGGTCACGTGGTCAAAAAAAATAAAAAAAATTGGTTGTCATTTTTTGGACACATCATATAAAAAAAAGTGTTGAAGATATTTGATTTATTTTTTCATAGAATGATAAAACTAATAATGCTTTACTTTGGAAATCAATTTTGTGATAGGGAGATCTATATTTAAAAAGTTATATTATTTTGAATGACACCGACTTTAAATTTAGCCTACATTCCCCAAAGCAATTTTTGAAAATGCTTTTCTGGCATATTTAGCCTTGCCACCTATAGCATGTTTTTATAACGTGAAAACCCGCCATTTTACTCGTGATAAACATTTTTAAAAGTAATTCTAAGAAGGTCTCTGGAACTAAGTCGAAAAACTCGCCGGAAGTCATGGTCCAATCCTTACGCCATGTTCTGGTTAGCAACCAAGGACGCTTTTAAGTTAGTGAGCCTCCCTAGTTCATAGTAAAGTCTCTCTAGTAGGGGCCTTGGTATAAGTTATGTAGGCCTATAGGCCTAAAATATTTCAGTAGCCTATTTAAAACTGCAATTTTAGTGTAATGTGTTAATTCCTATCCCATCAAGATAATTTAATTTTAAGTTGTTGTAGCCTTATATTCCTATATTATTCACTTATCAAGAGAATACTAAAGAATACTACAGCAATAAGGGACATTAATGCTGTGCACCAAATACCTGCATATTGCTTATTTCTAAATAGTGAATTACTACAACCATATATATTCATATGAAAATCTGTTGAAATGCTGGCTTTATTTTACTTGGAAGTTTGAAAAGTCGGTTACTTGGCAAATTACGCCAAATTGAAATATCCATTAGACTACACCTGCTGTTTACAATTACCACTGCCATCTGATACGTGGTTGAGTTTAAAATAAAAAGCTACATCACTGTTATTTGGAGTCAATTTGTAATTCAGTCTATTGTGGTTTGGCTACTAACAAGTACTGATTCCAAAATGGCCGTTGCTGGGTGGAAAAAGATTCGCATGCACAATGGAGACCAACTACGACTTACCATTGTGGGGATTTTTTCGATGGTACTGCGCATGCATGTGTTTACAACCGCAGAACCTTAGCCCTAATCCTATCCATAGGTCGTTGCACATGCACAGAACCATCTTTTTCTGAGTAGTCACTTTTGTTCCAAAATACTGTTAGTAAGCCCCTTCTAATTCCCGCTTGACTGGTCTCGATAGTCTTTTCCGTCACTTGAACTAACACCTGACCTAAGTCTTAAGAAATAAGATCTAACCAGTAGCGTAGCGAGAGGGGGTACATATATCCCCGGGCGCCGACCTTAGGGGGCGCCAAAATGGGTTGGGAAAATAAATTGAAAGGTTGAGGGGGGTGCAAATCGAAAAGTTTATCCCGGGGGGTCGCTACGCTTCTGGATCTAACATCAGCGCTTAGCGTATATGCGACCATACAATACAACAAACTTCTTCATGTTGAAAATATTTGGATTTGTTGTTAAAATGTCCCCCACCTAATTGAGTGGTGGCCCTTATGAAAAGGCCAAGTGACCTGCGCCCGACACACACCAGCGCATTGTTGTTACCCATATATTTTAAACCTGTGGACTAGTATATATAAAAAATATTTGCCGGGTACACTTGAGATGCATTACTAGAAATAGTGAGGTGGTAAGTTTTTAAATAAAACCTTTTTCATTCCTACACTATTTACTAAGTAATAGAAAGTCTCATAGTTTGCAGATATATTAGGGGCAATACAAGTAGTAGGGTTGTGGCTTTTGTAAATGCCTCTGATGTTGAATTGAGTCTTAGGCCGAATTTAGTCCAAAAAGATGCTCGGTGCATATCTCTACCTGGTTTTTCTTGTCATTTACATGTTCGCCATTTAAGCTTATGTTTTGTCTTAATGGGACACATGTTAACATGATAAATACTTAAAACTACTTGGATATTAAATGGGCTATTTTATAAAAAATTAAATATTTTACATAAACCTTTTAGACTTGAACTCTTTGCTTGCTTTACTGTAATACTATAAACTGTAATACTATTAGAAAATATTTGGATTTGTTGTTAAAATGTCCCCCACCTAATTGAGTGGTGGCCCTTATGAAAAGGCCAAGTGACCTGCGCCCGACACACACCAGCGCATTGTTGTTACCCATATATTTTAAACCTGTGGACTAGTATATATAAAAAATATTTGCCGGGTACACTTGAGATGCATTACTAGAAATAGTGAGGTGGTAAGTTTTTAAATAAAACCTTTTTCATTCCTACACTATTTACTAAGTAATAGAAAGTCTCATAGTTTGCAGATATATTAGGGGCAATACAAGTAGTAGGGTTGTGGCTTTTGTAAATGCCTCTGATGTTGAATTGAGTCTTAGGCCGAATTTAGTCCAAAAAGATGCTCGGTGCATATCTCTACCTGGTTTTTCTTGTCATTTACATGTTCGCCATTTAAGCTTATGTTTTGTCTTAATGGGACACATGTTAACATGATAAATACTTAAAACTACTTGGATATTAAATGGGCTATTTTATAAAAAATTAAATATTTTACATAAACCTTTTAGACTTGAACTCTTTGCTTGCTTTACTGTAATACTATAAACTGTAATACTATTAGAAAATATTTGGATTTGTTGTTAAAATGTCCCCCACCTAATTGAGTGGTGGCCCTTATGAAAAGGCCAAGTGACCTGCGCCCGACACACACCAGCGCATTGTTGTTACCCATATATTTTAAACCTGTGGACTAGTATATATAAAAAATATTTGCCGGGTACACTTGAGATGCATTACTAGAAATAGTGAGGTGGTAAGTTTTTAAATAAAACCTTTTTCATTCCTACACTATTTACTAAGTAATAGAAAGTCTCATAGTTTGCAGGTATATTAGGGGCAATACAAGTAGTAGGGTTGTGGCTTTTGTAAATGCCTCTGATGTTGAATTGAGTCTTAGGCCGAATTTAGTCCAAAAAGATGCTCGGTGCATATCTCTACCTGGTTTTTCTTGTCATTTACATGTTCGCCATTTAAGCTTATGTTTTGTCTTAATGGGACACAGGTTAACATGATAAATACTTAAAACTACTTGGATATTAAATGGGCTATTTTATAAAAAATTAAATATTTTACATAAACCTTTTAGACTTGAACTCTTTGCTTGCTTTACTGTAATACTATAAACTGTAATACTATTAGAAAATATTTGGATTTGTTGTTAAAATGTCCCCCACCTAATTGAGTGGTGGCCCTTATGAAAAGGCCAAGTGACCTGCGCCCGACACACACCAGCGCATTGTTGTTACCCATATATTTTAAACCTGTGGACTAGTATATATAAAAAATATTTGCCGGGTACACTTGAGATGCATTACTAGAAATAGTGAGGTGGTAAGTTTTTAAATAAAACCTTTTTCATTCCTACACTATTTACTAAGTAATAGAAAGTCTCATAGTTTGCAGGTATATTAGGGGCAATACAAGTAGTAGGGTTGTGGCTTTTGTAAATGCCTCTGATGTTGAATTGAGTCTTAGGCCGAATTTAGTCCAAAAAGATGCTCGGTGCATATCTCTACCTGGTTTTTCTTGTCATTTACATGTTCGCCATTTAAGCTTATGTTTTGTCTTAATGGGACACAGGTTAACATGATAAATACTTAAAACTACTTGGATATTAAATGGGCTATTTTATAAAAAATTAAATATTTTACATAAACCTTTTAGACTTGAACTCTTTGCTTGCTTTACTGTAATACTATAAACCCTCAACCGCTGCTGGTAGCAGCGCAACTGCTTGATTACACAGTACAGATAGTTTTGTCAGAAGAATAAATCTAAGTGATTGATCCTATAAAGAATAAATTGAGCCTATTACACAGATAATTAGGTCATTACATTTTGCATTTTTTGCAGGCTAGTTTTTTTTTTGTGTTAGAATAGCAACTAAAACAGTGCTGTGTGAAAAAGATTTAAATTGCATTTTTTTTTTCTGGTGTTGTTTTTTAGTATTAGTTATTTTATTAAATTTAAAATCTTATTAATTTCTACTTCTTGGTCCCACAAGTTACTGGGTGCTTTTTTATAGTTAAGAATTATATCATTAATAACTACTGTGTAACTTCTATTTGGTTATTGTTGAGTTCTCACTGGTATCTTTAACTGGTTATTACTGTTGTATTTCCTGTCAAACTTGATTGATTTTATTGTGGGTTGTTTTTTTTTTTTTAAATAGGTTACATTGGAGAATTCGAACAGATAGATGATCATAGGAGCGGCAAAATTGTTGTTAATCTTACTGGCAGATTAAATAAGGTATGACGCCTAGAATTTCCAGCCATGTTGGAAACATGATATGTTTAAGAAATGTAACTATGCTGGTTTCAGCTCAAATTATTTTATTGTATTTTCTTCATTTTTTAGTGTGGTGTGGTGAGTCCAAGGTTTGATGTCTCCATCAGAGATATGGAAAAGTGGACCAACAACCTTCTTCCCTCCAGGCAGTTTGGGTAGGATGTTTATTTTTACATTCTTTGTGCATGATTATGCCTTGATCTTCTAGTCCTACTTGTGGATGTTAATGTCTTGTTCTATTTTTATTTGAACGATGAAGCAGGATTTGCCTTGCTTGTGTGAAATTTTGAAGTGGGGGGATATGATTGTGTTGTGACATTAAAAATTTAAATCAAGTAGAGCCAGATGGCTTGTCATAGACAGCCAATCATCTCCCCTTATTCTCCTTGCTGTGGTGTAAGAACAATCCTACATGGCCACTATTAAAATCTTGTTTGAGAATACACATAATACTATTACTACTAAGCCGTAATGCAATTAACCCTTTACCTGTCTGTGCATCTAAACAAATTTACTTCCCCTAAAAACGAAAATAAACATAAAACATAGTCACTGATGCTACTTATTTTCAATGTTTTTACAGCTTTATTGTGTTGACTACATCCAGTGGAATCATGGATCATGAGGAAGCAAGAAGAAAACACTTGGGGGGCAAGATTTTAGGGTTTTTCTTTTAATGTCAAGCTGCACTGAATAAATCTTTAAAAATGCATTGGTCTTGAGTATTTCTTTTGCGAATCTAGACACTGTATAGTAATTACATAATACAGAAGCATACTTTGATTTGAAAGTTACCTCATTAACATCTAAAAGTATTCTCCTTCCCGATGACCATGGATTGCTAAAGAATTTTTGTACGCATTACCAATTCTAAAACTTAGATGTCAAGGCATTTAGCGTGTGGGTTTGTCCAGACTTATGTTTTGACGCCCCAGGGCGTGCTGTGTGCGTTAATCAGGTTGAACACCGGATGTCAGTATTGTCATGGGGCTTCGCGGTAGTGACCGATTATATTCAGTGAGCTAGGTGCAGCCCTTGGTTCGGTTTAGAGTCCCACCGAGTCCTTAGTAAGGGTGCTCTGTGAAACTAGTGATTGGTGTTATCCGTCCGCAAGGGACGTCGAAATTCCTCGGGCCTTTTTGACACAGCCATTCCTCGGTTTACACAAATATGCGCACACAGAATAATGCGCAGAGGGGTCGTCTATAAATGACGTCACACTCGTAGGGGGAGGGGGGTCAGATGGTGTGACGCCACACTTTTGCAGTATAAAAAAGCAATGTTAGAAAACGAGTTTTAGCCGTTATTTCGCGTTTTAGAAAACTGTTTAACTAAATTGTAATAGGAATTGATCAAAATACTCTATTTTGACAGAGTTATGACAAGATTTTGGAAAAATATCGATGTTTTAAGAAAACTTCAACAGCAATTTTGAGGGGGGTGGGGTGTAGGCTGTGTGACGTCATTTTATGAGGAATGAAAGTCTTCAAAAAAAGCGTGACGTCGTTTATGGATGACCCCCAGAGAAAAAAAAAAAGTGCGTACACAGAAAAATGTGCAGAGGAATGTGTGCACAAGAAAACACCGAAATAAAAATGTGTGCACACAGATCACCTACCAATGAATATTATGTGCGTGCATGTTTTAGTTGCACCATTGCACGTGCCTATGTGCATAAAGTGACAGGAATAAAAAAAAAATTCCATGCCTGTATATTTCTATTTAATAATAAATGCTGCATAATTTTCTAAATAAATAGAATCATTAATTCCTAAGATTTTCCGATTATAGATGCTTTTTGACCAAAGGTGGTAAGCCCACATGTTGTTTGACCACAGCCAAGGGTTGTACACAGGCAGTTTGTTCACCGCGGGTGTTGATCACAAATTATTTGACCAGTGGTGATTTGGACAACTAAGCCTGCACCTACACTTACATATATATCTACAGCTACACCAACACCTATCGCCTACCAACGGACCTATTGACTCATACACACACCTTGGCTACCTATCAGAGGCGGGCCGCACCGGGTGACACTATTTAGGGGGTGACACCAAGGCAAAAAATAGCAAAATATATAGAGAAAAACTTGAGGGGGGTGCAAATCGAAAGTTTGAGGGGAGGGTGCAAATCGAAAATTTGAAAGTTTGTCACCGGGAAGGGTCGCTACGCCTCAGGGGGGTGACACCATTCTACCTATCTGTCCGTCCGTCCATAAATCTGTTGAGAAATAGATGTGTGGACAGACGGACGCAAGGAAAGACAGACAGCGGGTGAGAGGGTCGACGGTTGGTGTAGGCGTAGTTGTGCAAACCACGTCTGGTCATATCATCGGTGATTACACAGCCCTGGTTTACAACCATTTGCTGTTGTCAAACAACACGTGGGTCAATCATCTATGGTCAAAGCACCTTCGGTCAACAGGATCTATGTATGTATGATCGGAAAATATTAGCAATTAATGTTCCCATGCATTTTAAAAAGAACGGTGGCATTTTTTAAATTAAAATATAGAGGAATGAGAATAAAATATATACGTCATTACACACATATGTACACTCATACACAGACCAACTTAAACATGCAAGCATAAACACACACACACACACATATATATATATATATATATATATATATATATATATATATATATATATATATATATATATAAACACACACACACATTGTCACACTCATAGTTGATAAGAAAATCTGTGTGTCATTTTCTGCGTGCATAATTTTCTTATTTGCGCATTTTTCTGTGTGTGCAAATTTCTGTTGGTGCCTTTTTTTTTTTTTTTTTTTGGGCGTCTGGGCGATGGTGTGGAAAAACAAACAACTATGATCAACTATGCTTTGTTTAGATAGATTAAATTATTGAAAATAACTTAGTTTTAGTAAATAGGTCACGCGTGTGAAAATACACGGTCGGCAATGAATTTATGTTAGGTCAGCCTGACTTCTGACATCGCGGTAATATTTCTTTTGTGGACGGGAGAGATTGCAGGAAAAAAAGTCACAGGAAAAATAAACCGGGAGTGATTACAAGACTTTCTCTATACTTCGTATATACGAGAAAGTAAAAATACAGAAAAAAAAGTCACAAATGTGTATTTGCATGGTAGTTGTTGATGCTTTTATGCATTATATATTTAGAAAGGACAAATTATCATACGATTAATTAAATGTATAATGTGCGGAGTTTGAATATGCATAGTAATATTTATAACACTCGTAAAATAATTAGTATGAAGTATGTGTGTTTTAATTCCGTTATACATAAAATATTTGATAAATTTTAATAGAATATTCCAACTTTCTCGGTTTCCATCGTGTTTTTTAATTACTAACTTAGCGTAGTTAATGTGACTTGCTGCTCTCAACGCATCGCAACAATAGTTCAACCACCTTTACTATCCACATTTATCACGCTCATTTCATAACAAAGCATGGATCAGAACAGAAAGCTGACATGCTACAAAGGCAGTCATTTACGCAAAACGTGAATAACATACAATATGGACGGATACGGCCGACTAAGGAGAAGCCGACCAATTAATGGCCTGCGGCAAAAAAAAAAAAAAAATTAAAAATAAAATAAAAACACGTCAGTGCGGATCCAAACTTTCTCTTATAATTATTTTTTCTACCGCGTTTAATCAAGTACGTAAAAAAAAGTTGAGGTTGCTGTGTAAATTATCTTAGAGTTTTCTTTACTTATTATAAATCATAATGCGTTTAACTTTAACGTTTATTAATACAAAACACAACCCACATAAATAAATACTCAAAATTTTACAATTCTTTATAATTAAATACAAATATTTACAATTACATTTGTGTAAGGTTTTTTTTTTCAATACAATTTTTCCATAATGAATTTTTTTCCAATAAAATTTTTCCATTGTGATTTTTTTCCTACCAAACACTTTTTTTTGTTTTGTTTTTTTCCTATGACTTCTCCGTTCACCGGGGGAAATGGGTGCGGTAATTGCCTGAAAGGAACTCTGCGTCCCACCGAGATTTTTTTCCCTGGTGCCCTACCGAGATTTTTCAGTGTCAATGCGGCCCATTCATTGTTTCTTTCAGGCATCTCTTCGGGGGGAGGGGGCTCCACCCCCCCCCCCCCCCCGAACAAAATATAATTTATATAGAAAATATATATTACTAGTGTCCGCCCCAAAAAAATTTAATCCGCCCCACCCCTCGGAGAAAAAAATCTGAAAGAAACATTGGGCCCATTCAACCCCTTGGCTTCAGCAACAAAAAATAATGAAAAATGTTCTGGTTATGTATATGTGTAGGCCTATTCTTGATTTTGCAAGATATGATTATGAAAGAACATAATACTCTACACTTCCGGTTAGCCAGATAAATGTTACAGTGTAGCAGATGTCTGTAGACTAAAGATCCAAGGTCTAGCAAATCGAAAAAAAGTTCAATTTAAATTAGACTAGAATCTAGTCAGAACCTAGACTCTAGATCATCCAGTCGGTTTTGAAACATGTATCTTAGATACTGTTTCTTTCAAAAACTTCGCGACAGTATAAATATTAAATTTACCAGTGGCAATAGGCCTTATTTTTATTTTGCAAATAATACTAAATCTAGATCTAAGTTTGGTTTACAAAGTCAAAGCAGTTTATTAAGGTTAGTAACGTTTATTATTAAATATTTGTATTAAACTTGACTTGACCTAGATCTAGACCTAGAGATCTAATTAATTACTAGATATAGATCTAGATCTAGTAGTTTACTTATTTAGTAACTAGACTCTAATTAGTTAAGTAGTTAAGTTAGTTAAATCGACTGGAAATGATCACACCTAAACTTTCTCAAATATTCTTTATAACTATAACTACAGGGGGGGGGGGGGGGGGGAAATGGCAACTCGGCATAGACACGATTTTTAATTTTTTAATCCATTATTATACAGTGTAGATCTAGATCTATAACTGATATAGATCTAGATCTAGATAGTATTGTAATCGTGCACAAAAGTTACATGAAATTTTGACAGTTTTCATCGTTTTACACCTCAGTACTTTTCATATTCGGAGTATAGGTGACTTTTTTTATTTTAATCAGGCAAGAAATAATAAATATTTAAAATATCAAATGCAGACTTATCAAAATTTCAGCGTTCTATGCTTAATCAAGTCAAACTGGGCTTTGCAATTCTGTCCCTATGTGTGTGTGTTGAGTGTGTGTGTCTGTAAACACGAGAACTTGAGTACAGTTACAGCTAGCTAGGTTAATGAAATTTTATATACAAGTATTAGGGTCTATAGCAAATTTGTAGTTTTGTATCAACTTTTCAGCAATTTCCGATAACCGGAAGTGGAACATATTCTACTTTTGGTTTTTCAAAAGCCTATGATCTATTTCATATAGATAGGGCCAAAACGTAATCTCACAAATAAGTAAAAGACCTAATTCTCTGCCTTCTGTCAAATTTGGAGTAATTTCTGTTTATCGGAAGTACTAATTTTCGCTGTTTCTAATTTTGTTTTTAAAAACACATGTGAATTTATAAAGTACTAATAATATTCCACACTATTATATACGTTGTTTGGCGGTCACTTGGTGCACAATTATTTTTTCTACAAGATTTCATTCTTTAAAAAAAGTTTAAGTAATTAAAAATATATTAAAAATCATGTCTCTATCTCGATTTGCCATCTCCTGTAGTGTTATTTAAGAATATTCGAGAATTTTTTCCCCTGAAATGATACAAAACTACAAATTTGATTTTAATACTTTTATATGAAATTTCATCGACCTAGCTGTAACGGTACTCAAGTTACAGTGTTCGCCGACACACATACATACACACACACAGACATATGGACAAAATTGCAAAACTATGTTTTTCCGATGTATGGAGGTGTAAAACCGTCGAGATTGGTAAAAATCTCAATTTTTTTTTTAATATATGATTTTTGCTGGATTAAATTAGTGTTTGAAACGAGTAGTAATCACTATATTTGTAATAATATTACATTCATTGTCTTGCAGAGAAAGAAGTAACTAAAGCTTCAAACTGTATTCAGTAGAGTAACTCGAAAGAAAATTCAGATGATAAGGGATAGAGTAGTGCATGAGACTTACCTGTTTTTCCACATCATTTAGTTAAACATATAACTATCAACTAGCAGGCCTATTATACATTTATTTAACAATATTTGCAAGACAAATCAAATTTATTTTTATCATTTATGTGCTATAGGGCTATAAATATAATAAACATTATACTAGTAGTAGTAGGGTAATATAGATTGGATGCCTTGTAGAGCATAAGGATGCAACCACACCTCTCCATAGTAAATTTGTTCCTTCCAGCTGCTTTCTCAGGCCTACCCTACTTTCCTTGGTGTGTTCCAATCTATTGCTTGTCTGGTGATTGTTGGTTTTGGCAGTGTGTGTCCTATCAATCTCCCATTGATGCATTTGTACTTCTTTAGACCCTTGTAATTATGTATGTCTGCGGTCGGATACTGATAAACAAAAAGTCTGCTACTGCTATTATAATAATATAGTAAATCTAGTAGTGTAGTACTAGTAGTAGTAAGATTGACACCAGCCTTGATTATGTGAAGCAAGGAAACTATTTACTTTATTATTAATACATTTGTATTATTATTGACAACCTAGAGGAAACTGGTAAAAAATTTTTATTATAAAATTATATTATGATCAAAAGAAAAAAAACGTGATCAAACCCTGCTGTAAACCAACCACCAATGGTTAGAGGAACTAAAACCCTAGTTTGGTTGTCTGTTGAGTGTGCTATTATTATCATTATTTATATTAGCCATCTATCTATTCAGCCTTGGTTTGTGTCAAAGGTAACTGCATTAGTAATAGTAGTCAAGTTTTAAATGTGTAAGTGTTCATAAGAAACAACCTACATCATGCACTCCTTCCAGTAGTGATTTGATTGCTGATTATGTAAGGTCAATCAGCCTTAATAATTTAATAAGAAAATAGACATATCCCTAGTGCACTCTTGCATTTATTGTAAATGCTTTTTTTGTGTACAAGCCATTGAGTGATTTTGTAAATAGCCTACACTTCTATTTCAAAGCTCTATTAATACCCACTGTCCTATTCATTACCCCAGTACGCTACACAATTCTCACCCATCACTATCACATTTTCTAGAAAGATAACATTACTTTTTAAAATGCCTATCTGGACTAAGTTAAATGTGAATGTTTTACTTAAATGCAGGTCAGTGCCTAAATGCAACATCCACATTACATCTCTTCTCAAGAAACTGGAGCCAAGCGCAGAGCCTTATAAATTTACCTCAAGTGCAGCAAATATCAAAACTCTCCCAGATCCAGTTGACAGAAACAAATATCAGTCAATTATAGTCTCTATCAGCCTGGCTGTTTTTATGATATATTTTCTCTTCTTGAGAGAAGAAAATGATTTAGATAAAAAACTATCTGTAACTTTGTTTGAACGTGTGCCTCATTTGGAAGAAACCCACCTACGTCATGAAATTAAAAAAATGAGAGAAAAGGGTGAAGATACCTCAGAGGCTGAGACAAGACTTAAAGAAGTTATAAATAAAAATGAAATAAAGTGACTGCATTTGAAATTCTTAAGCTTGGTTTTCCTTACTTAATCATTTGTTTGCAATATTAAATTTTTTAAAGTTATTTGTTAGCATTTAGCTGTTTGAGAGTGCCAAAAAATTGGCAAGACCTAAAATTTCCTTTTTCTATGATTCTCTATGAAGTTTTTATTTAAGTATTGGGTTTCAATTGAGTACAAAGGCCCCAACATCTCAAAATCCATGGTACCAGTAATTTGGTTTTCTTTTTAGTAAGTGTAAATAATGTAGACAGGGTTGGTACACTTTTCAAAATAAAAATCCGGACTTTTTTATGTGTTAGCAACTAATTTATAAAAGGATATACATTTTAAATTTAAAGGTTGCCTACCCCAAACTTAAAATTACTAAAGTATGGTGAAATGCTCGTTTTCAACACTTAACTTATTTGTTGATGATCTAATTACAGCATTAACGAAATAGTCCTATCAATTAGGTATAATATTAACTTTACTTTAAAAAAAAAAATATACAGAATGCAGGTCTGCTGTTGTTGAGTCCAAGTAAATATAGTTTTGGAAAGCAAAAAAAAAAAAAAAACTTTTAGCATGTTGAAAACAATGTTTACAGCTGAGAAACTTTTGTCTATTAAAATTTACCAGTCTCCCCCCCCCCAAAACATCAGAAAGCCTGCTTAAATACATCAGCTTTGGTGTAACATTTACACCCCCCCCCCCATTAGGACTATGTACTTGGGGTCATGGTGAGTTCACACAAAATCAGATAATGGTTATAACTTCCACGGAGGGGTGTGTTAGTCTAGCCCCAATGGTCAGCATTTGCTAAGCTTTCAATAACAGTGTAAGGGAATTTTAATTAATTATGGTAGACTACCACTACCCTATAATCTGCCAATATGACTGCCTGCAATGGCGGGTAACTGTCAGTATTTAATACGGGTGATAAATAATTCTTCCATTAAAATTTTTTTATTATTCATACCAGTCACGCAAATAAAGACTGCCATCTAACAATCTCCTTCCCAATGATGTCTCTTATGTAATCAAGAGAAAAACATTACCAGGGTGTAGAAAAAATTGGAGTACAATCACGAGTAAAGTTTCTGTACATAGTAAAATATAGACTTTGTGGACAAGTCTTTTGTTTCTTAAGCTAAAGATTTTCCACCAGATTGTGTAGAATTTTTAAAATTTACTTCAATGACTATACAGTTTCAAGCATAACTAAGCAAAAGATGCCAGAGACCAATAACAATGAAGGATTGTATTAGAAGGCATTTGTAAGATATGTACAATCCTTCTATGCCCAAGTATACACTGAAATAAATAAAACAAAATACTTTAACTAAGACATTTATTAAACCTACCAGCAATAATTACAATGTTTTGTTTTTGAAGTTATGATGATCAGATAAATGTCTTATGTTCATACAATGACTAATTATGATTTGATGACTTACAAAGAGCATTGACCCAGTTCTCCATTTGATTTTAAAATAAATTAAAAAACTGATTTTACAGCAAAGAAAAACAGAAGTACACATGCTACAAAATGAAAGGATGAATTATGGAGACTACGATTACAAACATGTTGAACGTGAATAATTGAAAACATTGACATCAAAAGAAATCCGACAACATTTAAAAATTTTCACTGAGATTTTATGGTCATGTAATATATATTATGAAAAGTAGATGCTGCTGCTGCACTTTTATGTCAAAGGAATATTTTATTACCTGACCACACAACTAAAAGCAAATTACAACCAAAGATGCAATGACAGCATATTTCTCCATTTCATATTTTTTAATAAAGAATATCCAATTTGTATGTTTCAGTATTCCGTATCCATGAAGAATTTTGAATTACTCGTCCAAATACACAGTGGACAGGAAATAAAATTTTCCAAAATTGTCTATTTTGTCTGTCAAATATATATATTCTTAAAAAATGTGCATTAAAAGAAAATTAGGCACGCTCTCCTCGAATTCGCCTGGCCAACTGGATATCTTTAGGCATGATAGTGACACGCTTGGCATGAATAGCACAAAGGTTGGTGTCTTCAAAAAGACCTACCAAGTAGGCTTCACTGGCTTCCTAAAAAGAGAATAAGAACAATCATCACACTGTTATTAGCTAGAATGAAAGGGAAAAAAAGCTAGATGGAAAAATTTAATATTACAAACCTGTAAAGCGCCAATAGCTGCACTTTGAAAGCGAAGATCTGTCTTGAAGTCCTGAGCAATTTCTCTTACAAGTCTCTGGAAGGGCAATTTCCTAATAAGCAGCTCAGTAGATTTCTGGTAACGGCGAATTTCTCTGAGAGCAACTGTACCAGGCCTGTAACGATGTGGTTTCTTTACACCTCCAGTTGATGGTGCACTTTTTCTTGCAGCCTTAGTGGCTAGCTGTTTCCTTGGTGCCTTACCACCAGTTGATTTACGAGCAGTTTGTTTAGTTCTGGCCATTCTGATAGATAAAATGAATATTAATATACAAATGTGACTGATTATTTACCATATCAGCTTGCATAGCATGCTAATTGTGTACAAATACTGTTATAAAACAAAAATGCTAAGTTTAAATGGAGATGAGCAACAACACACCAAGAAAACATACTTATATAATAGCTGTTAATCACACTTTACAACCATAAGTAATTTAAATTAAGTTTCAAATTTTAACTACCTACATATTCCGGTAAGATTAAATATGTTATACAATGCTAAGTCAATATTAATTGGGGCCTAAAAGGAAATAAGGGGGTGGGGAAGGAGAACAAAATCAAATGCGCTGTTCATTCTGGGTTGCCTTTTCTAGATTCTGTATAGTTCATGTCTTCAGACTGATCTTAGGTTGTCAAAGAGGATATTCTGCACTGCTGTGGGTTGCCAAAAAATTAAATCTCAATTTATCTCCAAATGAGCTAGTACCAAATTAAGTGTTTCGCAGATTAAATATAATTATTCTATATTTCTCATTGGAAATTTTTAAACAGAGCATTGCTACTATAGAGACTACAGACTGGTGGCACTTGTGACAATAATGGATCTTTACAGATTTGATTGCCGGGGACCACCTGTATTCAATAGTCAACTAGCAAAACAAGCGTAATAAGAGTGATATAACAAGAGTAATGAAAGGGTGTGTCGTGCCACAGGTGCAATAAATATTAAATGAAGTAATTTGGATTAAAAAAACCTTAAAATTAATGCCTAATGGATTAACTTAAAATAACTAGAGATCTAGATTATGTCTATTATTCAGTGGTCATGTTTAAATTGAAAATTGAGTAGGCCTAAATATTTTATTTGGCGAGGATAAAACTTATTAAAACTACTAGATCTCTACTAATTCTCCTTAGTTAAACAGATCTAGATTCTAGATCTAGTGATTAGTGAGCACGGGCCGTAAGACTTCTAAATCTAGATTCTAAAACAAAATTCATCAGTTATTTCCCTTTAGTCTTTAGTCTTAAGTTAATTAAACAATTAAAATGTGTCTACCATTAAAATTTCTAGATCTAGATTATAATTTATCATCAATTAATTATCGTGTTCACAATCTGAAGGATTTAAACTAATAAGGACATAGTCTAGATCCTGAATCTAGATCTAGAGTCTAGAAATCTAGTGTTGAGTGAATTATGATCAGGCAACTCGACTGAAAGCGGGATTCCCAAACCGGAACCAGCATCATAGCCTGTTTTGTTGGCCTATTGGTTGAGGCTTAGGGAAAAATATTCAAGTTCTATATCTTAGATCTGACTCTATTTTAGATTTCCCCCTTTAAACCATTGACAATAAATAGTTGTCTATATAGATCTAAGTGTTTTCTGTTTGAAATTCTTCACACTTTAACACGGATTAGTACAATACGTACCTGATTTCTAGTTTATCTCCCGCTTAAGAACTGTAAATAACTTGGACTCTCGAACGAATAGTTTCTACTACAACTAGTTCTTCTTACCGCAATTTTGTGGTGTATTCTGGGTAAATTGAAATTCATATCTTTTTATAAACACGCATTTGATTGGTTACTAGTTCTTGACAAAGAAATGATTTTTTATTGGTTCCCTTTTCCTTACTTTTTATTGGTTGAATTTACGCCCTAATACTGCTTGTGATTGGATCAATTTCCCCTTTTCCCATTGGTTAATCACATCGTACTCGCATAATGAGGAATGAAAATAATGACAGGTCTGACGGAATAGTACATTCATCAGTGAAACATTAATACAAAATTATTACATGGACATGAAATCTATATTGATCTAGATATATATAAAAATGAAATTATGTCTGTGTTTGTCTGCTTGCCCTTTATGCATTACTAAACCTTTCATCCGATCAATTCCGATCTCCATGAAAAGTTGGGAATAAACTCAGTGCTTAGATCTAGATCTATATCCTCTTACAGTAAATACTACGAAAGATGCATCATGAATTTAGCTATAATGTTTAAACTTTGCTCTGAAAAAAATCATAATTATAATATTCTTTGACTAACCCCAGCCCTGACCCTAACACCTAAAGCTCTCAGATGTGTTAAACAAGTTAATAAAAAGTCTAGTGACAATTTAAGCGAAATTTCCTTAATTAATTTTTTGTGACCGAACGAAAGGATATTTTTGAAAACTTTCTTCGGCAATATTGTTCTAAATTATGGCAGGAATCGATTGGTAAATGTTTCAAGTCGCTAAGTGGTCTGGTTGCCGATATATGGGCAAAAAACTGCATGTTTTCGAGGTTTTTTGGCTTTTCCGGGAAATCCAGGAAGGAATTCCGGGATTTTTTTTGGCCTACAATCATCCTCGTAACTTGCTTAACATATTTGCTTTGGAACTAGTCCTCGATATTGCTTCGTTGAGGAGGAGATACGACTGCGGACACACATCCATCCATCCATCCATCCATCCATCCAGAAATAACGAATTAATAATCGCAATTGTCAGTATGGAAATTGCGCTAAAAATCGATGTTAAAAAAAACATCTGAACCCCTCCCCCTCATCACACACCGTCACAAAATTACGGACCCCCTCCCCCTACGAGTGTGACTTCATTTATGGACGACCCCTTACTCATGTTCCATATTTGAAGAGGGTGGGGGAGGACTCTTTTTACAAGTAAATGTCCTTTACTTTTTAAAATTTTAGTGCCCCACTATTGATGTAGAAATTGTTTAAAAAATCGTCCATAAACCCAAGTAGCCATTTGTTTTTGTTATTTTTACTTTCTCGTATACAGTGTATAGAAGAAGTATTGTAATCGTGCACAAAAATCACACGAAATTTTGACAGTTTTCACAGTTTTACACCTCGGTATAATACATCATACACGGGACTTATTTTAATCGGACAAAAATAATAAATCTAGATTTATCAAAATTTAGGCGTTTTATGCGTAATCGGGTCGGAAAAAAACTGACTTTTTCACATTTAAGTAAAAGATCTAATTCTCCGACTTCTGCGGCGTCCCGGCAAGGGGCGATTTGGTCCCCGGGCTTACCTGTGAGCACTATGGCGCCAACGCTCGTTTTAACGAGTGCGATAGGCTATGGATACAATGTGTTGCTATAGTCACTCTCTAAATTGAATCAGGCGCGTTCATCGGTGCTCTGTAGTGTGCTATTGGCGCCCGGACTTTCCCGTGAGTGTTATGGTGCACATGTTATATCAAACAGTGCGATAGGCTATGGTTAAGATGGGGTATTGTAGTCGTTCACTTAATTGAATCAGACGGGTCTCCCGGCGCCCTGGCAGGGTGCAATTTGGCGCCACGGGCTATCGTTAGTTTTAAAGAGCACCCTACAATATTGGCTCGGTGGACATTGTTGTTCTCGTTGAATTGTGTTCTACCTCACTATTACAATGGCGTGTAGTGTGGCAAACCCGTGCCCTGACAAATATGATCCAAGCAATATAGCGCTGGCATTGTTTAAATAACTCAGCTTTAGAAAACAAGGTCACACGTCCAAGAACATAGGATTGGTAATACATTGACGAAACTTTCTTAAAATATTCGTCAGACTTTGAGACCGCAGAAACGCACGGGTACGGGCACGCTATTGTTACTATAAATTTATAATGTTTTGTTACACCGCTTTTAACTTCGCTGGTCTTTTTATGAACAATTGAACTATAGCTGTTGGCTGTTTCAGATTCGTTGTTTCTGTATGGCGGGCGAGGGTTAATTATTCCGCTTGCTTAAAAATGTATTAAACTTATTCTTCGAAGAGGCGCAAGGGGGAGGTGCCCCCCTCCACTTTTTACGCCTCCGATTACTATAAGATATAAAGTTCTTGTTTAAACAAGCTCCGCCCATTTGATGACCAGTGCAGGATGAGTTCGTCATGTTTTATTTTTAATTTGGCCTTTGTCAGCTTTACAGCGACATGATGTGGTTTTGTTATGCAGTGCACTACGGGCCAATAGGTTTCGACCCAGGTATTCTTTCCTCCCATGTTTACTAGCGTATTCACAAACAAATAGAATCTGGGCCCACGCAGGACGCATACTAACTGTTAACAATGTTTGCACAGGGCGATGTCTATAAACCGCCATCTTTGTTTTGTTTTGAGTGAAAATTTCTGGCATTTCTATAATGTTTTTTTTATATAGTAGTGGGCATTCATGACATACTTTGATCTTACGGACGTGTTTATTTAGATTATTAATGATATGATTAGAGAGGGTCTCACATTTTTCGGAAGGGGGGGGGGGATAATGTGTATGACGTACCCTTTTCCCCTCGTTGTATAGGGGAGCAGCGAGTCCAGGAAAAGCCAAATATAGATGTTGCCGAAAATATAAAATCCTTAACAATATAGCCAGGTACACATTACATGTTAATGAATTTGTAATGTTGCTGAAAGTTTTGAGGGGGGGGGGGGGGTGTCGACAAAAGTGGACGCGAGTGGACGGGGGGTCTAAAATTCCAAATTTTTGTTGACGTCATAAATGGATGACCCAGTGAGCAAGTCCCCATATACATGTTCTGATAAAAATTAACGTATAGCAAACATGTCGCAAGTGTAAACGGGGTGTAAGAGCTGTGGGGACCCCAGAATCAAGTAGATTTGGGTAAGCGGGTCACCAAATGATCATAGAACATGATTCTAATGTTGCTGAAGTTATCACCACTCTCGATTCTCGTTAATAATAATAATATAGCTGCAGCATTGCTACTCAAATACAACAGTTAAGGAAGCAATGAGCTCAAAGTTTTTGTAAAATGGTTTTATTGGTCAAAAATTGGATATTTTTTTAAAACTATTTTGTCGCTTCATTATTTATAACATTTTTTTTTTCACAAACAAAACAATTGAAAAGACTACTTACATAAAAAACTTCAACAAAAGTCAAAAAATTATTTCACTCTTGAGTCAATCTGGCTCAAAAGAAGTTTTCTTTTTAAATAAAGGAAAATATAAAGGAAGAAATAATTTTGATGAATTCAGTATTGTAAAGTTATTTCACATAAAGTGTTTGACCAAAACCTAAGGAAAGTTTTTTTTAAAAAGAGACAGATTGGGGAAATTTTTAAAAATGCTATTAAATAACAAGCAAGACTTCACTCTTAAGTTAGCCAACTTGGCCAACAAAAATTAACTTCATATATTTTGCAGCATTTTTTAATATAAGTAAAGGTACATTTCATATACTGAGAAAAAGTATAAGTTTTTTTACTTAATGAATATGACAAATTAAGTCAATTATTTTTAATTCAATACTTTTTTGTTTTTTTTACAAATGTACATAAACAAACAAGGTTTTCTTATTTGCAAAAAGAAAATAAAAATTTATAAATATTTAAACAGTTTCATAATTTGTATTTAGTTGCCAGTAAATGAAATGTTTCAAACCAACAAAAAATGTAAACTATGCACATATATTTTATTCTAGAATAGCATGATTTATAAATTAGTTCTAAAGCTTGTTATTTACATATACGCTGTGCACTGAGATGAGACAACTCCTAGAAAAGCTTTTAAATAACCAATTCGTTAAATTGTGTATTGAAGAATACACAATTTATTTTATTAAAAAAATTAATTATTTAAAAAATCATCTTTTCAACCAATAACCTACGTTAATTCTATGAGAAGTGAGAAATTGAATGATATATGATAAATTAATAAAACAACTGAACACCTACCAAAAATGTATGATAAATATTGAAAATTGATGGATTTTTCAGAATATTTAACTGTTTAAAAGAGAAAGTTTCCAAATTTAAAAAGAAATTATCAATGTAACAGTAATAGATTTTCTTAGACAGGCAGTTCAGTTACCTGAAGGTCAGGTGTATACAAATAATCAACTTAATACAGGCATTTAGGAAAGAAATTTAAATAAATAAAAAGCAAATGTAAAAGTGAAGAGAATACAAGATCTGTAAATAATGTGAGATAATTTTGTAGACTTAAAGTGTAACAAAAACACCTAATTTGTTTTATAAATAATTCAACATTTTAAAAACTAAACTTCAAATGTTTTCCATTTCCAGACAAAACATTTGGATGAAAATACACGATTAGAGCTTTCCTTTAATTCAATGATCAATAGAAAACTATTAACTATCTTGAATAGCTTTAGCTAATGATATTTAGTAGTAAAGTAAAAACAGAAAGTTTTAATTTACATAGGTGTGTATTCTGTTCTAAAGGGTGCAGAGAAAAAGTATTAATTGCTAAAGATTTACCTACTGATACAAAGCTATAAATAGTTAATTATATGAACTTAAACTAAATTATAAAAATATTTAACAAGTCTAGAAATCAAAATTTTTATACAATAATAGACTATATTTATAACAATTAAATTTTTTAAGTTTGCTAAACAACATTTAAACAATTTAAAGACAGACAATAAACAAGTATTTTAATTATAAACAAAACTAAGCATTATAAATGTTTAACGTGAGAAAAAGTACATATTTTAAATATAAAAATGTTATAACTTGTGGCTACATTATTTAATGCCAATGGAAAATTGGATAAACTGTAGGCCTACTTTTTAAAACATGTATATGTAAATATATATACAGAAAATATGTAACATTTTTTTTTAAAAAGCAAGTACTATTTAATTAAAGAAGCAAGAAAAACATATCACTAAATTTAAATCATAGGCCTTTAAATTTCTATTTAAAAAATAATTACGTAAAATAATTCCCCAAAAGTGAAGTAATATTAAGCTTCAGATTTTTAAAAAATAGATACAACCATAAATATAAATAGAAAGAGTTAAGTCCATTATGTGTAGTTTTAATCTTTATCTGAAAGCAAACATCATAATAAAGTTAAAGACATTAGAAATTGTATATGGCCATTGACACGCCAGAGATAAAGATGATGTTTTCAGAACCATTGACAGACCTTTATTTACTGCATATACCCGAACATGTTAAAATATTTAGCTAAATTTTAGTCCAATATCTTTAAAAACTCACTTTTTTCAAATTGTTAACTACATGACAGATACAATGTGTCCAAGATACAATGTGTCCAAAATACAAAATGTAAACACATAAATTTATAATATTGGGACCAATTAAATATTTTTAAAAATTATCTTGAATGTATTAGGATCAGATGTAATTCAATGTTCATTGAATAACCTATACTTTTTACTTTACTCTTATTAACTTATAATTAAGAATATACAGTGTAATAAAAGTAATGTTTTTCTACAGAAATGTTCCAGAAATTAATCTCATTATTACAATTACCTTCTCTTTAATCATAACCTATTTCCATCATTTAAAGCTAACTATGTCAAACTAAAAATCTATAATTATTTTTAAAAATTGTCTAATAAAATGAGATATGTTAAAATAAAAAATAAGAACACAAAAGGGTATGTCTAATTGTAAAAAAAAGTTCAATATTAGTTATTTAAAAGAAGGGGTAGAATCTAAGACAAGTCAGAATCTAATAATGATGTTGTAAATGCATTCAGAAGATGGCACACTGTTACACAAAACAGCTCGTTATACACAATATATTGTAAGTAAATGAGAAACTTTATTGATTGCTGGAAAAATACACTTGAAGAAATTTTAATATCTTATTCTTTTCATAAACCCCACAGGCTTGCGTTTGTACATACTAATAGCTGCCCATTCTGTTATTTAGGCTGACATTCTTAAAGTTAAAAGAAAAGACTTTGGGGCAAAAAAATTCTGTATACTAAACATTTTTTATTTAAGATTTTAGTGGATGCTTACATGCTATTCTGTGTAAAAATTATGAATGGCTGTATATTTTAATCTCAGAATTCATGACTGCCGTCAATTATTTTTAAAAGTCTTGTAATTATTTTCAGGAAAACTATATTTATACAAAACATTTTAAATGTATGCAAGTTGAAGTATAAATATTCTGTCAAAAAAAAACATATACATTTCTTTTTCAAAAGGAAACATTTTAAATTTTAACTTTAAAGTTAATAAACCAATACTGATTTGAGTATAAAATATAAGAAAAATATATAATCACATTTAGTATGGCAAATACAAAACTGAAAAACTGAATTTTACACTGTGTTCACACCAAGAATGTTGAAACTGGACCTGTGCTTGTATACAGGCCATGTAGCAGGTATATAAAGTCTTGAATTTCAGAGATAAAATTTAATCAACATCTCTAAATCTTTATTTAGCAAGGTATTCTATATTAGTAAAACCATACTTGGCTTCATTAAAAAAAATGTCAGCTTTGTAGAAAAAAATTGTTTCCTTAATCAAATAATCCATTTCTGTTAACATAAAATAACTACACAGAAAAAAATACTTGGTCAAGTGATTTGTCTTAATGTATTTTTGATAATCTCAGTGTGAATACAGTATACATTGTTTTTAAAGCTACAACAGTAAATAACAGTACACACATCAATTTATGCATTTTAAAGATCTGCCTGATTTCTAAACAAATTACTTGAAATTTCACTGAACTTTACACTAAGCCCATCCTCTTACCATTTTAAATGGTCCCATTATATCAATTAAAAACCTTATAGTTGTTAGTAGTGTTAGTAAATTAGTGCAAACTAAATATAAGTAGCAGTTTTAATATTATACCAATAAATGTTTTCAAAATAAAACTAATTACAAGAATTAGAACTACAGGAATCAGAAGAAAACTAGATTGATATACAATATTGAAATACAAACAGGGAATCACAAAGAGAAAACTTTAAACTAACCAACACATTTTTTGGCCAAATCATGATACACATTAGCAGGAATGAATTAAACTTATGTGCCTACACATAATTACATTATAGACGACAATAATAACAACAAATTTTGTAAAATAGAGAAGTTTGATTTCCTTTTAGTTTTCCATCTAATTTCCATTATGGGATATAATCATATATGTTTCTATTTACACATTTTATATGGCATTAGTTCAACAGCAGTTAATTTTATACAGCAAATCATCATAAAATGATCTAAGATGACTGAAATAATATATTAATAAGTTCAAATACTGTAAAAGATTCCATTAGTACCTAACAAATAGGCAAAGGCCGTCTCTGTTTTCTAAAACTTTGGAACAATGCCTGGACAAAAATTATCAAACCAGAGGTGCCTAAATTTAAATTTGAAATGTTAACATAATTATTCTAATTTTCACATTCAATATATACATATTTTAAAATTAATAATTCTAGACATAAAATCGGGCATACATGATAATGTAAAAGTTGGGAACATAAGAAAGATATATTTATTGGTAAATGTATTTTCATTTTTTATTATATAACTAAGTAAATGCACATTTTAAAAATTTACACCTAAATTCAATAACAATCTTGAATCAACAATTAGTTTGAATAAACATTTATTGAACAGAATAAGAGGCTTAAAATTAGAAACTAACAAAAAACTAGCTTTACTCATCCCTAAAAATGACAATACTGTACATTTTCCAATGAAAGGCAAAAAAATCAGAGCTTTCAACATCAACAGCAAACAAAAACTGAGGTCTACATAAAAAATACAACACAGATTTAAAAATATATTTACACATGAAAATGGAAAAGATTAAATAAATTCTAAATCACTGTTTCAAATTTAACATTATTAGTTAAAGGGTAAGTTCATAAACTGCCATTTTTAAAAATCAAGTTGATTTACATTACACTGCAAAAATCCTATTTGGCAGAACAAATCAAAACTTGTTATTACAAGATAAATCAAGAAAGTCATGATGCTGTAGGATCTTTCAGAGAACAATACTCAACTGTTATTGTTAAAAATATGCATTTGTTCTTCAAGGGAAATCAACTTCAGCAGTGACAAAGAGAATAACAAAAAAGCTGCCAACAACTGACAAGGGAAAATAGCTAAATCTTTTTCATCCGAATGAGTAGCAAAATTTAAGTCGCCTAGGTAAAACTATCATCCACATTGTACATATGTAAATATGTGCTTTGTGAAAATATACTTTAAACAGACAGAAATGTGTACAACTTAAGAATAATCCAGAAAAATGTCACTGCCAAAAACATGCACATTTTGTACGTGCCAAGTGTACAAACATTGAAAGAATTTATTTATAATGTGATAAACTAATATGAAGTAATCCTAATTGACAAATATAAGAGTCAATAGTTATTTACAAACTAACTATATACATATAATTTTAAAATTAAATAAAACTTAACTCCTTACTAAGAAACAACACTAACTATACACATTGCAATACACTCACCAAACCATATTTTTAATGTGATAAATTTTAGAATTCTTCAACGCTGTTAACTATGTAATTCTCTGGGATCAGATTTAAATATTATAAATAAGAATTGAAAATAAAAGCTAACAGTTTAGCATAAGCTCATATGTTGTAAAAATCATAATTTCTAAATAAAAAACTTAGTGGTAAATCTTCCTTCTGTATTGCAATCGCCCCTGTTTCTTATTTTTTCAATTGGTTGATAAATCCTAGGACCTACCCATATCAAACTTTCCGTCCAAATTTTTGGAACATCAACTGCAACAAAGAACGAGTAATTATTTGTCACTAAAAATGCCATTGGAAAACAGAAGAAGTGTATGATGGTATTTTCACTAGAGAGCAGATGTTATGTTGATATAATGTGAATAATGCATATTTTCAACTTTGATAAAAGTGACAGTAAAAAAAATAATTTAAAAAAATCAAGCTGCAAGAACGTGTCATACCTTATCAAGGATATCAACATCTTGTTGTAAATGTGATCTAAGTTGCTGCAGTTGTTGAAAGCTGAGCTTATCCAATTCACTGTTTCTTGACAAGGCATAGATATGAGGTCCACCAGTTAAGTTTAAGATCTGCTGCATGCGAAGATTCTGGGCAAGAAACTATATTCAAGGAAACAAAATATTGTTAGTGCAATTGTTCTTAAAACTTTAGCTCAGTATTTATCTAAAGTGTTAAATGTAAAAAAAAATGTACCTCATCCTTCTGTTTGATAGCTTGTTGCTTCTCTTCCTCCGCCAACTTTGACTTCTTGTTGGCATCCTCCGCTTCCTTCTTCCATGCATCACAGGCCTGTGTAACAAAATGTGTTACCTATTAAATAGGTATTTGAAACTTGTCAGTTTGGAGTGTGACTTGTGGCATATAACAAACATCTCACAATACATTTTGAAACAGTGTAATAAACTTTATCCTTTAAAGACAAAAATAAACATTTTTTCATAATTTATATTATTTTTAAGTAAAAGATATAATAATGCACAAGTATATCATGTAATCCAACTTGAATGATGTAGAAAGAAAATGTATGAATTGAACAAAAAACAATATGACACTTCCAGTGGCATTGAGCTATGAGAGACTTCATGAAACACTGAGCTATGTGAGAACCAGAGGAAAATGAAAATCAACTGCTAAGATTTTTTGTAAGGTTTAATTTTTAAATGCAATACTTACACACTTAGCTTGGGTGTATACTCCCTCCCATTCTGCCATCTTTGACTTTGCTATCATTAGCTCTTCTCTCAGTTTGTGTACCTCCCCATTCTGAAGATGGGTACCAAATGACCCAGAGAGCATTGGGGACTGAGGCCCAGCACTACGGGGTGACATGGAATTGGTATCACTTAAATTAGACCCCATTTGGTATTTAAGTCCAGAATAACAATTCAGTAACGGGGAAGAAGACTGGAAAAAAAATCAATATCATTAATAAGTTAATCATGACATATTATTAATAAAATAGTATTTTTAAACTAAAAGCACAATTTTAAATTTTCCAAATTATTGTTACAATGTTTATTAAAATAGATGGCAAAGATAAGTAGAAAAAGTTCAGTGTTACAAATAAAAGAGCCTCACGTGATCATTAGAGTCTTGCTTCTGCAACTGCAGGGGTTGCATGCTATGGGGGAAACTTCCAAACGGAGAGGGTGGAGACTGGGATAAGCTGCTTATACTTCCTCGCTGGGCAATCCTACTGAATGGGATGCCAATTGGTATCGAGGAATTATTGCTGAAGCACCCTGACGTTGAAAGACCAGCACTGATTGAACTACTGACAGAATTAGCATCTATATCCTTGTCCAGCTCTCGTTCAAGGCTACCAATGTCTAGGTCATCTAGGTGTACCTCATCTAAAGCTTTGCCTGATAAAACAAGAGATTAAAAAATGTTGTCATTTATTTTTACAAATTTGTATAATTCGAAGCATTCAAAATGACCTAGATTTCTGTAAAGTAATACATAATACAATGCTAATTTTAATAATTGCATTCAATTATTTGATTAATATGAAAAAAAAAAAATGAATAAATAACAGAAATGTTTACCTAAGACAGACTCAACACAATCCCCTGGAGGATAAAATGCTGGTGCTAAGGGAGACATAGTGGTAGATCCCTGATTAAGGGAAAAGTTATGGCCTATATGATTATATAAGCCTGCCTGATGTAGCAGTAGTATGTTTTCTTTACGCTTGGCTTTCTCATTAGGATCTATTGTGGTATCCTTCTCTATGCAAGCCAATTGTTGTCTTAATTTCAACTGCAAACAAATCAGTAATTATAAAAAATGGCTACACTACTGATTAAGATTCAGCTAATTATGCACTCACCTGGTACTCGGTACTCACAAAACCTAATTATGCACTCATGTGGTACTCAGCACTCACCAAACCTAATTATGCACTCACTTGGTACTCATCCCTCTCAAAACCTGGTGCCCTCATGTAAAGTGGTGAGTTGTTATAGTCTGAACTAAAACTGCAGGACCTGACTTTCATAAATGGGTCAGTAAGAGGGCTGTTTCTGTAGCTGTTTCCATTGTTGCAGCCCATCAGACTCATCTGAAATTAAATTATTCTTTCTTTCTTAAATACCATATCACCAATGACCAGGCACTTTTTAAAATAAAATTTTACACTTAAAAAATAAAAATGAGCCGTTACCCAGAGTTACAATAAATAGAAAGCAGTACAACTTGAGTAGGCAGAGAGATAGAGAGTAGTGTCCATGCTTCATTGTGTGACATAACAACAGATGCTGCACTGAGATTCAGACCATCCCAATACATGACAAACACAGAAATACAAAGTCTCTCCAGAAATAAACACAACAAAGTTGCTCATTTTTATAAAAGTTTATGGCTGTCATGTCATTTGGTGTGTCTATAACTGCCTTTAGTATTTCTGTGTTTGTATACATTTGGACTGGGATCACATACAAGCTTAAAACAAGACTTACAGATATTAAACTAGTTTGAGAAGGTATACTATTAGCTCTTTCTTTTCCTATAGGGTTTGGGAGCTTTGAATCTGCTTTTCCATTAGTCTGTAATATCAGAATGTTACAACTATCTTACCAATTTTAACATTACAATAACCTTAACTATTTGAAATAGAATATTTAGATGATTATAACTGTAACTACAAACTCCCAGTGGGCCTGTAAAAAGGTTTTTATAAAAAAAAATTCTACAAGATAACTTGAAAGGTTAAATTTAATGTGATTGGAAAAAGGAAAATACAATATGGTGCAATGGAGGTAGATCAGTGCACACATGACTGGAAATAGTGTGAGACACCAGTGACACAAGGCAGTGTCAATGTTCCAGGTGACAGTTCACTTCTCAGGTGTTTTCGTTAAATAACCAGACAAAATTTTGGTTTACCTCTTTCCCATTGAGTTCATCTTTCCCTGACATGGATTCCATTTTGTTAGATGTTTCGCACACAGGTAAAACATTGGTCACAAAAGCTGCTAATGAATTGCTTGTTAGACTTGATAACACATCCCGCACTATAGATATTTCCTCTGAAAAAACATTTAAAGAATGTCATCTAGTGTACAGAAGTTTTGAATAAAAAAAGTGAATTAGAAAGAAGCAAATGTTAATCAGAGATAAGGACTTCCACTTACGTTCAACATGGGCAAACGCACAAAAAGCACCTCTAGGGCAGCAGTTTGTTTGCACCATATCATTACATTTGGTTGATTTGTAGATCTGAAATTATCAGTTTGACATTACCGCATCAAATTAAAGTTGACCCTAGGTACAATCAATATGTAATATACAGCTAAAACTTAACCAATAGAGAAAATACCTCAGGGTGAAACTGCTGCATCAAATTTAAGTTGACCCTAGCTACAATCAATATGTAATATACAGCTTAAACTTAACCAATAGAGAAAATACCTCAGGGTGAAACTGCTGCATCAAATTAAAGTTGACCCTAGCTACAATCAATATACAGCTAAAACTTAACCTATAGAGAAAATACCTCAGGGTGAAACTGCTGCTCTGTTCTGGTGTGACAGTATGAGCAATTGTCCCCACTTTCACATTGCGTGGGGTCACCCCATTCATCACCATGTTTTACATTAGGGCAAGGAGTAGATCTAGATTGAAAGGCAACATTATCATATTCAATTAATTGTCAAAATACAAGCATAATGTAAATAAAATATCTGAAATGCTTTCCAACACATAAAATAGGAAATCATGACTGGTTATAAAAGGAAGTTATAACTAGCAATAAAGTTAGTTGCTTGCCTGTATTTGTATTGTTTTGGGCTTCTTCTCCTATCCCTGGTATTGTGAAACTGGGGACATGCATAGCCCTGGCGACAAAGTCTAGGAGGACGCTTGCAAGGTTCTGTCTTATAATTTGCCAGTACAAAATTAGTATCTGAACCAAATAGAAGAGAATGGTATAGTGTAGTGATTGATAGATGACAATTAGGCTTACATTTTCTGTAAATTCTATACAAATGTCATAACTTAATAACATTTATATTTAAAAAATGCACTAATTAGCTAATTATGATGTCCTTTTAGTGAAAAAAGGTAATTCTACAATGCCCATGTTAACATAACTCAAGCTATAGTTAACTGGCTGATATTATTTTGCTAAAACAATTGTAAAAATAGAAGTGGTAGAGCATATGAATGCTGACCAGAAGGTCCTATAGGACATACCCAAGTTCACCTCGTTTTGCCAGATACATGATGAATGTTAGGGAAAGTAAAGGCGGCTGGTCATAGCGCTGACCATACCTGTCCAATGAACCTTTAGGTTCAAAGGGGTACTTTATTATATTTATACACAAATGCAAAAGTACTTTATTACAAATCAATTAATTCTATTAGTTTGCGAGCTTACCATTCCATCTTGGATCTTCTGCAAGAACCTTGTCTTTTTCTAATGTACTGGGAGATGTAGAGGACTTGTCTATTATATCCATTGAGGGCTGCATCTCAGTGGAATCGTACACTGGTGGGCGCATATCATGAGCTCCGTGTGCAAAGGCACAGTGGGGACCATTTTTTGTACAGTTACCTTTGGTGTCAGTCTCATAAACACAAGTACCAGTCTTATAGTATCTTAAATGATATCTTCTTTCTGTATCACCAGCTGTTCTATGTAAAAATGGGCAGCTGAAAAAAATGTTTGACCAAATAAATTGATGTCATTAAAAATTTTAAAATCCAATAAATCTTTTCTCAATACGAAAAACTACAAGGTTCTTTTAAGATATATATTCCTCATCTTAAAAACCATGATCCCTAACGACTGAATGCCTGGCAATCATCTTCTTGGTTGCTAGTTCATGTTACTTTTAAGAAAATACTGTCAACAATATAACAAGTGTAAGCATTTGCATTTATTAACTGAATTAATTTTAAAGTTAGTTTATTTTTAATTTCAATAGTTTAAAAAATAATTGTATTCAATAAAAAGCTATTTGAGTAAAATCCCCCCAGTAAATACAGCACTTGCATTCTTTCTACCAATAAAAAAAAACTGTAGTTCTACTGTAAATAACTTAATATAGTAGTATAGATAGTACAAGTTAAGACATAAGTAGGCTTGATCACCTACACTGGAAAATAAAAGCAACAAGCTAGGCCTACTAAGACACATAACAAAACAGGAGTTGACAACTAGGCTAAGACAAGGTAGTAGTACACATCGGGAGAGGAAGGGGGAATTATTCTTAGCATATGGCGTCATCTCTAAAAATAAGTATGATGAACATTTTTCCCTCACCATATTTTTCAGTAAATTCACTATCTTTATTGCTCCCTGTAAAAGTAGTCAACTAATTTCCATATTTTGTTTAATAAATTATGCTATTGTACAAGGAATTGATAAAAGTACTATGTTTTCGTTCATCCCAACCAGAACAAAGAAGTTCCTACCAGCCATAAAACTGGTAAACAATACTGCTTTTGTCAATGGAATATGCGCCAGGTCAAGTTCAGTTTTAGGTCAAGGCCAGCAATGACCTATTTTTAGATTACAGCTGATTTTGTTTTGGTACATAAATTTGATCGAATATTATGTTTTTTAAAGATTTCTGTGTGTATTACTGTAAAAGTATTAATGTAAATATAGTTTTACATTATACGGGCAAGAAGAAACCACTATTTGAAGGTGGTAAATAATTAAACACCTACAATTATCAAACTGCGCAAGTCTCTTTCTTTGTCTTTGTTGTCATTTTTAATGCACTACATAACTACAGTTTGAGAAGAGCATATTGTCTAATCGTAAGGTAGTTTGATCAACTTATATTTCAAGAAAATATAGAATTTTACCATTCCTAATATTAAAACAAAAACATCAAGAACAAAGTAAATTCTTTCAAGACAAATTCACCATTCGCAAAACAACACCTCGTCTACTTCGATTTACAAAGATGGCGGCCATGTTTGTTTACATCACACATGCGTCAACCATAGTCTCATAGTTGAACATCAGTATTACAGCACACTCGATACTTTAAACTTTAAATTACGGTGCAGTTAAGAAAAATGATAAATATTATAAGAGTCGAAATCGAACGCAATTTCTTACCGAGAACAACGGTTTGTTTTCAAGAATATGAATGAAGAGCACCAAAAACTAGTTTATTTTCCCACCAAAAATTTAAACAATGGTACTGGTACGTTATAAAATCAACAACTCACTCATCTCCATCAGGACAAATCCCTGTCGTTTCATCATATTTCGAACAGTAAATGTCCGGACTGTATGAAAATGTACCGTCTCGTTTTCTAACAGGTCGTCGTCTTCTTTGATTTAGGAAATGCCAATGAAAGCAAGTGAATGGCCTATGTTGTTGACATTTGTGTTGAAGGAAGAGTTCACACTGCTGAGTGCGAAATTCTTTCAAATACCTAAGAGAAACATAATGTTAATTGTTACTCTACTGCAAGTACAAGCTTTTATTTTATTTTTTATCATAGAGCTGTATATAATACTTACGTATAGTGGTGAGGTTTTTCAGTTTGTACAGAAGCTGACGATGCATCTGAAGCCGACGGCATTTTGTTGTCATAAAGAATTCTAATGCGCATATTCTTTGCGCAGAGTATTTGTTTTTTGATTGGTCGCTGAGGTCACATGGCGGGGTTTCCCCTAACTTACATCACAAAAAGCACCTGTTAATAATATTGTGGTTGTGAGGTCGCCTCAGTTTATTTTTGTTGACAAAAGTGTCCTTGCACTATTCATTTACATTCTGCCCTACTTTATTAGGATAATATATTAAAGGTTTAATAAGAAATAAATACCGGCTAATCTATTAGATTTCTTTCTGAAACAAAGAAAACAAAATAGGGTTTACTGTCACTCCATTCACTGAGTGAGAGTGAGGTTGTTACAAATATTTTTAACTAGATAAATGGCCCGTTGAGGAAGGGTACAACGGGCGCTAGGCTGATAGTGCTGTCTCTTTTCTCTAAACTAAAACCAACCCACCCCCCCACACACCACCCCCACCCCACCCCCCCCACCCCCACACACCAACCCCACCCCCACCCCCCACCACACACCACCCCCACCCCTCACCCCCACACACCACCCCCTCCACACACCGCCCCCACCCCCCACCCCCCAAAAAAAACATGTCTACCGTCCCATTCAACGGAATATAATTATATACTTTTTCCAGTGTCCGCCCCCTCCCAGAAAATTCTACCCCCGCCCCCGAAAATTTCAAGTACCCCCACCCCTCTCCGGGGAGGAAAAAGTCTGAAAGAAACACTGAAACCAACCCACCCCCCCCCACACACCACCCCCCACCCCCCACCCCCACCCCCCCCACACCACCCCTCCCCACCCCTCCACCACCCCCCACCCCCAAAAAAAACATGTCTACCGTCCCATTCAACGAAATATAATTATAAACTTTTTCCAGTGTCCGCCCCCTCCCAGAAAATTCTACCCCCGCCCCCGAAAATTTCAAGTACCCCCACCCCTCTCCGGGGAGGAAAAAGTGTGAAAGAAACACTGAAACCAACCCACCCCCCACAGACCCCCCCCCACCCCCACCCCCCCCCCCCCCCACCCCCCCCCACCCCTCCACCCCCCCCCACCCCCCCCCCCCCCCCACCCCAAAAAAAAAAACATGTCTACCGTCCCATTGCAAGAAACCACTTTTTAGATTAGACACATTAATTAGGCGGTAATTTTATTATAGAGTATCGATGTGGAAATTTCTTTTGAGTTGGGGAGGGGGGGGGGGGGGCTCAGACGTTCTTACGCGGGGGGTGGGGCTTCGCCCCTACCCGAAGAATTGTATGCAAGAAACTCTTCACGCAAACCATTTAGATTAGACAACATTTCCTTTTTATTCAATGTTAACGCGAAAATCAATGACGTCATATAACTGTGAGCACTCTCTGGGTTTGAGATTATGTTCTACTCTACGCTAAATGTGTCGACGTCATATTTCGTTTTTCGAATTACTGTGCATGTTTTTATTTTGCTTGTGTTTTCTCTAGAGCGTTCTTGTCAGACAGAGCGTTCTTGACAGACAGAGCGTTCTTGTCAGACAGCGAAACTATTAGTATTAACTAGAATACCCGTCATCCGTTGGATAACTGTGGGTTTCGGGGGTCATCCATCAAAAAACATCACGTCTGTCACTCAGAGGCATAGCGACCCTTCCCGGCGCCCGGGGACAAAGTTTTCGATTTGAACCCCCCCCCCCCCCTCAAACTTTTGATGTGCACCCCCCCCCCCCCACTCAAACTTTCGATTTGAACCCCCCTCAACCTATCAATTTATTTTTCCAAACCATTTTGGCGCCCCAACATATGTCCCCCCCCCCCTTCCCCCCTCCACCTCCCCCCTCCCCCCCGCCTCCCCTCCCCACCCCCCGCCTCCCCTCCCCACCCCCCCGCCTCCCCTCCCCACCCCCCGCCTCCCCTCCCCTACCGTCCCCCCCCCCCTCCTCGGTACGCTACTGCAGTGTCACTTATCGTCACAAAAAACAGACCCCACATTCAAATATATGTTTTTTATCTTTTAAAAACACCGAAAACACCGATTTCGGACTATCCCTTCATAAACTGACGTCACAGGTGACCTACTCAACTCTACTTCACCTGCCCAGTGTCCTGCCAAGTCTCAGACAACATGTTTTTATCGTTTAAAAAACAATTCCAGCCGAGCATGTATCTGACCACACTATCCTTTCATATGCTTAGGACAAAGAAACAGATGAACTCTACTTCACCTGCCCTGTATCTTGCCAAGTTCAGATAGGCAACGTTATCATTCACATCTAAAAAAAAAAATTGAAAAAAAAATTTCATTGACATATTGGTCTAGAACCCGTGCCTCCTGCATGAGAGCTGACTACGCTACCATTTTAGCTATTTACTCGTGACGTCACAAGTGAATTTTTATACTATACTATGTGTCTCCTTATGCAACTTGATTTACGCGTATAGATTCTAGATCTAGATCTAAAAATAAGTCTAGTAGTACTAACTTTCAAATTAAATTTTATCTTAAATAAGCCAAACAAAGATTTATATAAAATAATTAAGGCCTGAAATAGATTCTAGATGTAGAATTTACATTGAATCTAGTGACCTACATCTAGGCTAGATCTAGATCTAGGCTAGATTCATAAATTTCCTTCGATAGCTGATCTTTAGATCTAGAGAAATTTATCGTAAAACTAAATGAAAAAGACAGTTGAAAATTGATATAAGTGTTGGAACGTAATAAATACAGCAAACGGACGTATTGTTAAAGTTATGACCGACAGAAAATTAGATTTAGAACGCGTTAAACTTTTGAATGGGAACACAATTTTCTTCAATAGACGCCGCCATTTTATTGTACTAAAGAGTAAACAAAAACCTGTGACGTCACGGTCCCGCCGAGTCTAGTGGCTTTTCAAATATTTTTAAAAAAAATGGGTTATTCTGCATAGGAATAAATCAATAAATTAATTAACGTCTTTAAATAAATTTGTGATCAACAGTCTGTCTGCATTAAAAAATTATTCTCTACCTGCATACCATTTTACAGCTTTCCAGATAGAGTCGAACATATCACAATTTTCGATCAGGCAAACAAATAAATATTCAAACATGTAAACAAAGTTGAGTTTTAGTAGTATATAGATTAGACGAAGAAGAAATCACATGACATTGTATCGAGGCTTAATTTACAGTTTCACGTATAGAGACCATTTAAGCGGTCTCTAAGAAGCACAAAGAACAAAAAAAACTCATGCATGAGGTTTTAACAAATATAGGCAAATCTTCACATTTTTACCTTACTTTTTAAATGTGGGTACACATAGTTAGCCAATTGCAAATTTTTAATGTGTCATCTGTCAAGCTTATTTATTTATATGTACGAGCCGGCCCGCGGCATAACATACGCCGCTATTTAGTTGTTTCTAATTTTCAATAATTCATAATTTGTGAATTCGACAGTACCAACGCTGACACTGAAAATATTTCTTTAAAACACTATAAGTAGCTCGTTAAGGACCATAACCCCCCCCTTCCTTCCCTCCCCCCCCTCCTCCCCCCCCCCCCCCCTACGTTTAAAATCGTTGGCTCTGCTTGTAAACATTTAGAGTGAACACAGCTCACTAAAACCATGTAGGAGTGGGGAGGTAGGGAGAGCGTTTGCAGCTTGTTTTCTAACGGCTCGAAGAAGAGAATTATATATATAGATAGATACTCTTTAACTCTTGAACGGCGGTTCTCATTGCAAATAAGCTAAGCAGCCGATGTTTATAATTTACAAAATACGACCGTAACGGCGATGTAAAATATGTGCTACTCTATTGTTCTGAGACTTGAAGACTAAAGTACCGCAAACTAATTAGGGGGTCATCCATAAATGACGTCACATTCGTAGGGGGGAGAGGGGTCCGTAATTTTGTGACGATGTGTGATGAGGGGGAGGGGGGGGGGGGTTCAGATGTTGCGACGTCACACTTTTGCATTATAAAAAAGCAATGTTAGAAAACGAATTTTAGACGTTATTTCGCGTTTTAGATAACTGTTTTAATAAATTGTAATAGTTTAGACAAGATTTTAAAAAAATATCGATGTTTAAAAAAAATTCAACTGCAATTTTGAGGGGGGTTGTAGGTTGAGGTGTGACGTCATTTTAGGGAGAGTCTGGCTTTTTGTGACGACGTGTGACGGAGGGGAGGGGGGAGTAAAAATCGTCAAAAAAGCGTGACGTCATTTATGGATGACCCCTTACAACAAACTTAAAACTTTCACATTGAACATCGGGTGGCCTAATGGGAGTAAATTGCGTGAATCAACTGTGCAACATCACCAGACAGGCACTAGATTGAAGTCCCCAAGGTAAGAGGAAAGTAACTCGATCAAAACAAGCTTGGAAAAGACTAATAGTCATACGTTAAACAAAGAAGCCGGAATGTTGTGGGCCCAACTTTGAGGAATCGCCTATAAGAATAAGTAAGTACGGTGGAGAGGCGTGGTTGTGTCCCTTTGTCCCACAAGGTGATCACATGAATGATGATAGGGATTAGAAATTTGGTTAAAATTAGAGCTGTTGCGATTTTTAATATGTGCGACGTGACCTAGCAGCGCCGTTGGTGTGTGTAAGGGGGGGGGGGGTGTTATGATTAAAGTTACACTTTCAGATCTAGCGAGCTCATTTGTTTCTTGACCTCAGCGTATGTAGGGACGATGTAGCCAGCACTATGACCAAACTGCCATTACTTTCCTTAACAAGAGGAATTTGCTTTACACACTGTTTTTTTTAAAAGCACGGTTGATTCTTTTCTTAGCATCTTGGCCGGCAGCACTCTCGTTAGACTGATTTTGTTCTGCTTCTTCAACCAGTACATTTTGTTTTGCATTTATTATTGACTGTGTGCGAGAAGGCTGCACAAGCTGTTGTATCTGTTTTATTGTTTAAGTTAATTTGTTTCCTGTAGTTTGTTCATTATTCAGTCAACCAAGTACCATTGTCTCACTGCAATTTGTACCCTAAATGTTTCTGGTGATTTGCTCTTGAGTAGTCTGTCACTTGGCAGTTTAAGTAGAGTTATAATTGTTGGTTAA